GACCCCCCCTATCCTCATACCTGAAGTCACAGTCGTCAGCAAGAAGACTTTATCAGCGCAGACATTGACAGAAGACCTTCTATCAACGCAGACATTGGGTACCAGAGATAGCAGCAGCGTCAACTCTTCACAAGTGCAGCGTGCCTTAGAAGATGCCTCATTGTTGTCAGAAGCATTATCATCCCTGCAGCAGTGTCTTCAGACATCGCAGAACTTCAACCCGGGACTGTTCATGCAACAGTTTACAGACCAGATGATGTCGATGATGGAACGTCGCTTCGCGCAGGAGAAAGCTGCTACATAGACCACTACAATGACTACTACCCCGCGTGAAGATTCAGCAGTCTCTCCAATGCACTTTGAAGAAGAGGGAAGCCTACGTGAAGGCTCATGCACCTGACGTTCTTCCCCATCTGAAGTTAGGAGCCTGGACTACACTACCAACGTCAGCTCAGCCTTAGATGTCCCTGAAGGAACCGCTAAGGATTCTCCACGCAGAAACAGGTCGAAGCGTTCTCCTGAACCCTACAGACGTCGTAGATACGGGTCGTCATCACCATCGGACTCAGACGCACATCGGGAACCTGCGTACAGGCACTCCACATCTCACAGAGGGGAGACTGCGTCTAAGAATCAACCTTCACAAAGGCCTAGAGAAAGATCTCAATACAGGAAGGATACACGATCACATCGGGATCATTCACCTGCGCAAAGTTCATCATACAGATCTTCACACAGAGACTCACGTCGTTGTGGATCGTCTAAATCAGAGGAAGAAGGTGAAGTCATATTCTCCGATACGGAAGTAACCTCATGGATTGCTAATGGCCTGGACCTAGCATCACCTTCCAAGGACACAGACGAAGCGTTTACATACAAGATGTCCAACGATGATTTCGACACACTCACCTTTCCGCATATCGACCCGATCTCCCAAGTACCGGACAGCCTCAGCAAAGCCTTTGATAAGGCTACTAACTTCCAGAACCAGCATATCCCGACGTTCAACGCCAGCAAATTCCCACTATTACATCACATGGAACCCTTCCTGAAGGCACCAGAGATTGATGAGGATTACAAGATCATCAACGACTCCCGCTATAGGAATTACAAGATAGACGACAAGAAGAAACACAACTGGATACGACTACTAGACGTCCCTTCTTCGGACTAGCCACATCTAGGGCTATCAACGAAGCACTCATTTCAGAGTTCAAGAACTCCACCGACGAAGATGACCGGATGATATATTCTGCGCTACTGATTCAGAAAAAGGACCACCAATTTATGTCGGAGCATCTAGCATCCACATCAGCGGGCCTGACTCTCCTGAGGAGACAAGGATTATTGTCATCGTGCACCTGGAGTGAGCGGTTCACCAAGTCCTTATTCAGAGCCCCATGGTCATCATCATCCATCTTCGGAGGAGAAATTGAAGAAGTCGCCAAAGAGGTTACACACGAATCAAGGGTGGTCATGATGATAAAGTCCATAGATACCTTCGACAGTGGGTGGACGTCTTCAATGGTACTGGGAGAATTGGGGAATACTACAGGTCGACTATGTATCCCAGATACTACGCAGAGGGTACAAGATACAGTTGGAAACCACCCTGCCGCTTACAACAACCCAATGGCCTTCAGATACGCAGCCGACCAGACAGAGAAACTGGACGACGCAATCAAGACTACTCGACAAAGTTGCAGTAGAAGAGATAAATGAAGATCTCATCATGCCCGGTTTTTACTCCCCAATTTTCCTGGTACCGAAGAAGAATTCCAAGGAGAAGTTTCGGCTCATCTACAACCTGAGGAAGTTCAACCAGGAGTACCTTCGCAGACCAGCAAATTTTAAGATGATACATCTGCCGACATCTCGTTCGTCCATCAGACTACCTCACCAGCATAGATCTACAAGATGCGTACCTACACATCCCGATACATCCAGACTCAAGGAAATGCCTAAGATTAATTTTCAACAGACATCACTTCCAGTGGAAGGTTCTACTGTTTGGAATATCGTCGGCCCTCGGGTTGTTTACTCAAGTGACCAAGCCCATCGTCACATATCTACATCGTCGACTGCAACTATACTTCACCATCAGGCTTCTCACTCAGTTAGGATGGCTGGTAAATCTCCTCAAGTCGGAACTGGAGCTGAAACAGGATCTTCAATTTCTAGGAATACGACTCATCACGCCGGTGAATCGCATAGTCGTCCCAGAGGATCATTGGGTCAAGATACAACATATGATATCTCAAGCAATGCTCTGTCCGTTGACACTACGTGCTTGGCAAAGCATGCTCAGTCTACTCACCTCAGCTCAAGACATGACTCGCAGAGGGAGACTACAACTGCGCCCACTACAAATATTTGTGAACGCCCATCTCGACAGTCTGGATCCGCTGATTCTACGGACAGCCTGAAACCATACCTCCTATGGTGGACTCGGAAGTCGAATGTTTGCGGAGGAACCTTTTTTGTCAGAGCCAGTTTGCAACACTCATCTCTACGTAGATGCATCAGTACAAAGATGGGGTGCCCACCTCGACAACGAAGTGGCAGCAGGGAAGTGGTCGAGTCAGGATCAGAGTATGCACATCAACCTGTTGGAGATGAAAGCAGTGATCAACACTTTACATCACTGGTCCAGCGTACTAAAGAACGCAAGGCTCATGGTCCACACAGACAACTACACAGTAGCGTTCTACATCAACAAACAAGGATCAACAGGTCTGCGTCAACTCAGCTTTCTCCTGTTCAGCATCGTCGACGACCTGAACATCTACATGAAGGCATGCCACATTCCAGCAGCAAAGAATGTCATAGCAGATGCCTTGTCTCGTCCACTTCAACCATCCCCGACGGAGTGGATGTTACACCCAGAAGCGTTCCGGTTCGTCATACGGACAACAGGATCTCCATTGATAGACCTGTTTGCAACAAAGTTCAACAAGCAACTACCAATATTCGTCTCTCCGATTCCGGATCCTCAGGCATGGGCAACAGATGCTTTAAGCATCTCATGGGAAGGACTAAACGCTTATGCGTTTCCAGCACTACTACCACAAGTAATACAGAAAATCAATCAGACGACAGTGCTGCAACTGATTTTGGTTGCGCCCTATTGGCCAGCAAGGGTATGGTTTCCCGTCCTCATAAAAGAACTTGGAAGCCCAACCCTGAAACTACCAGAGTAGTCGAACCTGCTCGTCCATCCACACACCAAGCAAGTTCACGGGAATCCGGCATTGTTCCAGCTACATGCGTGGAGCGTATCAAAGCTTGCCTGAAGACTAGAGGGTACTCCGCCAGAGCAATGAAAGCAGTAACACTAGCTCTACGCAGATCAACTCACAACTTATACGACGACAAGTGGCAGAGATTTGAACAGTATGCAACGAGGAAAGGCTTACAACGGTAAAAGCAACCCATCCTCAAGTGGCGGAATACCTGTGTCATCTGGGACAGATGAGGTACTTAAAAGGTTCAACACTATCAATGTACCTGGCTGCTCTCAGCACAGTTATCACCATGAAGACAGGTGTCAAGCTGACCAAAGTACCAGAGATACTGGCACTACTGCGCTTGTTCAAGTTGCAACAAAAGAAATTCAAGGCTCCTGTCTGGGATCTCAGCATAGTTCTACAACATCTCACCAGTGATGCCTACGATCTGGATGAGAGCCGTTATACTAAGGGCCTACAAAGCAGCAGGACTTGAGCCTCCACGAGCCTCCAATTCCCACGAAGTCAGAGCCCTGGCATCTACACTTGCTCTGCATGGAAACTGCTCGATTACAACAATAATGGAGGGCTGCTTTTGGAAATTGGACACAGTGTTTGCCAACCACTACCTCAGGGATTTTGCCACCGAAGACGTCTCAGGCATTCACCAGTTTGGGCCACTTGTTGTAGCACAACAATTAACGGTTCCACAAAGGCTCTGAGAAAAATCTCACCCTTTTATCACGTGACTTGTGAAAACCAACGCTTTGGAGAGCAGTTAAATGGTTAAAGTCCATGCACACGTCTAGGTCAGGCTAGCATGAGTGATAGGCCCTGTACTTGTATAGGACATACTCATACATGAAGAATGGTCGCATCTCCACTTGATGCACGCATCAAGAGATGGAGTTGCAATAGATACCTAATGGAACATTAGTATATCTAAAACTCCACATGAAAATGTCAGGAGAAGTTTCGGAAGAAATCTGACAAGTTGTGGTTCCCCCCAGACTCATCAGAGGAAGTTGAAAGAACAGAATCATCAGCAGTGCCGTCATAAGTTCCCATGGGGGGTAATACAGGACGTAAATCAACAGCCAGAGAATCCAGAAGTGGCCTGACCCACCAACGATTCTGACGGATTCTGCAAGCATTTAGCATGAGTCAGGATAAGGAAAAATAATTAATTTTCTGACTAAAATTGATATTTTATACTTATCCTGCATCATTAGGTCAGCCCTCCCAAGCTCCCCTCTTATGGCACTCTGGATTTCCCTGTAAATCAGGGTGTCGGGCATACATATGGCGAGAGTGACAAACATGGCCGGTCAGGTGACCAAAAGGGCGCCAAAGGGGCAAGGGAGGTAACTCATGGATGAGTGGTGATTTTACGTCCGCTTTTTAAAAGGGAACTTCAAGGGATTTCAAGTGTTCCACTATCATTCGCAAGGAGAAGGAGACAAGCATTTAGCATGAGTCAGGGTAACTATAAAATATCAATTTTAGTCAGAAAATTACATTTTCCTACCTATTCCAAAAATAACAGTGTGAAGCTCTTTGTGTGGAAGCACCAGTAAAGAGGAACCAGAGTCTGTTTTTTTCTCAATTCTCTTTCATACAAATGTATGTCTACATACCTACCGATGTTATTGAAACTACATAATAACTGCAAGCAGAGTTGGGCACTACACAAATAAATTACATGATCAGTAGCATCCTCATAGCGTGTCAATAGATCATTATTCATAATTTCAATAATTATTATTATTCCAGCTGGCTCAAGCAAAGCGAGTGTTTGCCCAATTTGCAAGGGGTCCTGCGTTTGACAAGTACATGGTTCAGCTGGAGGAGGCCTGTGAAACGTGGTGGAAGTCGGGACACCAGCAGTGTGAGGCTGTCAGTCTCACTGGGAATCTGTGTATGAACCCTGTAAGTTAGTCTCCCCAGCAACTTGTATGAACCCTTTAAGTCAGTGTCACTGGGAACCTGTGTATGAACCCTGTAAGTCTGTCTCACTGGGAACTTAAGTATGAACCCTGTAAGTCAGTCTCAATGGCAACATATGTGTAAACCCTATGATATCCTCTATGTTGTTTCTATGGGATTGGCTGTGTGATGACTGTGACATCCTCCATGTTGTAGCTGCACCGACTGCTAAACGAGGAGGAGACTGATTCCAACAAACTGCTCCCTGTGTCCAGCCACTCCAGCCAGCTCAAGTCCAAGGCGGCCTGCAACTGTGGCCAGACTCAGGCCGACAAAGACGACCCGTTTGACCACATGGTAACATTGCTATTTACAACTAAAGTACTGTCGGAAATGCTAGAAAAATGCTATTTGACTTATATTTAAAATTCAGAGGTATTACAGTTACTTAAATAACAAATAAAACTTCAAGAAACATCTACCTAATGTAGACCGAGGGAATAAATTTTGAGACATGCTCTAAACTGTGTTTTTACTGATGAAAATACCAAAAACTTAGAAAATTAAGGGGTAGTTGGACGTTATTTGAAACAAACAATAACTGCCTGTGTTACGTCATCAGCATGCACGGTATCGACAGGTGAAATTGACACCTGAGCACACGCTCGGGCGAGGGGTCATCTCAATAGATGTTTTCTGCAAAATGTTGAATATGTGTACGTATAGTATACATATCAGTTATGTAAGGGATCATTTGTGTATGTGTGTTTGTTGTGACATAAACATACGAATTACTGTACATTGGAAAGAATCCTATCATTTGTGTTATCTTATCGATTGATTGTAGAAATGTGCAACGTTTTAATAAATGTTTTGCATGTCAACAGTATAGTTCATTGAAAAAATATGGATGTAATTCGGTCAGTTTAATCTAGTTGTGAACATTGGCCAAAGATATATTATATATATTTTTCTTCTCATAAAGTTTGTAGACCTTGTCAAAGTTGTCAAGGATGGTTTTACGTCCCGGTTTTGCATATGAGACGGTCCCTGTCTTGTCTGATTTGTTTACAATATTGTAAACTTGTTGGTAAGACATGCCAACAGCTCTACAAGTTCTGTAATAAACCCTCTCTACACTAATGAAAGGTTTACCTCTGTCTTTTTTAAGCAGAAAAAAACTATAAACCTTTGCAACAATCGACTGCAAATCGTTGGCCATAGTGCACGCTGTGATAAAGATGTGCATGCATGACGGGAAACCTATTTATCAAGACTTAACATTTATATTAATATTTCTTCAATAAAGAAAACGATAATTAAGTAAAGTAACACAAACATTCAACATTTATTTGTTAAAGAAAAACGTTAATTCATATTTTTACACCACCTGTATTATTAGCATAAATGTAAAGACTATTTCAGATTTCTGTTGTTGAACTCTGAATAAATCTTAAGTTGCTATTTTGGTACCAAATTCTCTCCTGTAAACTGCCCTTTAAATGCATAGGAATGTTAAATCGATTGAAATAAAAATTAGGTAGACAATAGGCGAGTTGATATATTGACAACATAGTACATTTATCACCTTTATAAAGATATTAAGGCTAAAAAGCATTTTTCTAGCATTTCCAACAGTACTTTAATAACTGTTCGGTTTGATTTGTTCACATGGTACTAATCAGTGTTATTTCATAATGCTGACGGTTGTGACTCCTGGTTAGAATTGCAAGCAGGGATTTACAGGATGTGAATTTCTGCGTCCTATACACATAAAAATTGACAATGGACGCAACAAAATTTATTAGCGCGTCCACAGGGACTCAGAAAAAGTCAAAATACTTTTGTAAAAATTCCAATCAAGTGACAATAAGTTATCACTGAGTTTGCTACTAGCTGGGTTATGGTATTATTAGCAATTTAATTACTGTAACAATGTGATGATCATGATAAACAATACAATAACGTATTAGATATAATTTAAGTGTCTGGGACCCCCTTTTGTCCCAGGGTCCTTCAAATACAGGACTCCATGTAAATCCCTGTTGCAAGCTATGCTGGTAGTGAGATGTGACCGAATGATTGGATGGTCAGTCCTGCTGACATGGTTAAGTGACTTGGTCACATCACGGCCCTATGATGTGGATGGATGCTGATATAATAATGGCAGATAAATTATTATGAACAAACGGAAAAGACATTTTGGGAATGCAAATTTGTGAAAAGCCATGATGTGATACATTAAATCTCTTGATATGAGATTGTAAATGCACAAAACAAATTTTCTATTAACTGCACACAGAGGTTCTTTATGAGTTCCATTTTTTATAAAATGCCAATGATTTTTCAAATGATTATTTCAAATTGGACGAAGTGATGCTTTTATCAAGATATTTCTCAGCTAGCAAAACATTTAGGTAGAGAAGGTACCCTACCTAAGTACAGAACTGTTTATTCAGTGTTTACTTATATCCAAGTTTGTGCAAACAAAACAATTCCTGTGTTTCCAGTATGCCAACTTTGAGTTTTACAAAGCTTTGGAGGAAACATGTTGCAGCAAGCTGGAGCACATGGACTTCCCCGTCTTCAAACCAAGCACCAGTGAGGTCAGAGCAGGTCAAGTGACCCCAGTGACGGCCAAGGCTCCTCACCTGAAGACAGCGCTGAGGGAGAGTCTGAAGTCCGAGGGGACAGGATCAGGTCTCACTAACCTCAGTCTGGCTCTCAGCTTAGGTAGGCGGATTTCATTGCAAATATGGCAGCATTGTTGAGACCTGGTGTTTTCATCCAATATTTGACCCGTGAAGATCCAGGTTAGAATTGATCTTCAGTAACCCATGCTTGTTGTAAACGGGATCAGGTGGTCAGGCTTGCCCATGAATGTTTGATGATGTAAATACATTGTCTGTTGGATACAGATGGGGAAAAGTCAGGGTTAGGGTTAGGGTTAGGAAGAGAAATTTTATGGGGGTGTTACCCATTTTGTTCTGGGGAGTATGGGGGGGTCATTAATTTTGTACACATGTCCTGTCAGCAATTTTGTAAATAGAATTTTTACAAGATTATGGTGAAAATTTATTGGTGTGTGTGTGGGGTGGCATTGATTTCGTACATTGCATGCAGCAGGAGGGTCATTCACTGTATAAGTGCTTCTCACAAAAATCATCATCATTTACAACATTTACAACAATATTCCCTTAGTCTATATTACATATATTGGGGCAAATGCATTTACGTTATTTTTGGTCTATATTTATATACTTGTGACATTATGCACTCACGCTAGCTTCACAGGGACTTGTGGGTTTTAAAATTGCTAGTGATTTAATTTGTTTTGGGAATATATTATATTATATTAGTGTGTAATATAATGACTTGTTTTCTGTGCAGGTCAGTCAGGGGGAAGTGACCTTACATATGGTCATCGGAGTGAGTCGAGTCTGAACCCGGAAAACAGTCAACAGGGTGAGCCTGGCCAACAGACAGAGACCACTGAACCAGAGCAGGTCCAGCATCCAGGTGAGATGTAGTTCTTACTGCCAATTTTACACCTGGGCAAACCTTTGCGGCTGTAATGGTTTATCTGATTGTGAATGTGGTCTGAGAAAGTTTGGGAAAGTGGGAATGTGTTTTCTAATTATAAACTAGAAAAGGATGTTGATATAGGAAGATATAGTGCATGGTGTGGTCAGGGTCACACGTCATTGTATCCCAGTTATGTATGTCGATGTTCATCACTTTATCTAGATTATTTACAGTCCGCCGCAATACCGCTGGAATACATACAAAGCAGCCCCTGATTTCCCCCAAATGACATTTTTGTAGCTACCGCAGAGCTGAAAATCAGTAACAGTGCAACAAGACAGCACTCTACCACTGAGTACCTGCCTGGGATGATTCACTCCGACTCCCCGTCTGGACTCCTCCCCAAGTTCTGTTCCTGGTCCTTATGTAGTCACGGACCATCCAGCCTGTACATGCACACACAAGGTAAGTTGGACCAGTCAGGTGCAGAGTGCCAAATTACAGGCATGTATTCATGATATTGGGGGGCCATGATCCAGCGAGCTTGAGGTGACGGGATTGAGCCCACCTGTGACCGGGTGTAAAAACCTTTGAAGGAGTCTGCACACAAAGTTTTGTCACAACCCTGTGCACCCAATAATCCGTTTGTACATGACCAGATGGTGGTCACACCTAGTTGCGGGTATAGCAACGTGCAGTAAACTTAGACTATGTGAATGGGTACCTCGTAAGGAAATTCATAATAAGATGTGCCGTTGACCTGTGATGAACTCTCCTTAGGTCTGGACCTGCCAGGCTTCCTACAAGGGAGCAACTTCCTGCTGCCCTGGGACATCACGGTCCGCACAGAGAAGGAGAAATGGCCAACAGTCGGCGAGACAGCTGGGAAGAAGGCACGACAAAGGCGGCTTCCTATCAAGGGTAGGGAGACAACATAGTGTAACCTTGACAACATATCAAAAACATCCAGACACAGCTATTTTATTTTATTCTCTTTTTACCTCATTTCTCTTACCCTTTCCTCTCACCAGTCCTCATTACCTGGCATTAATTTTTCATGTTTTCTTACAGAGGTAGGGGAAGTAACTCTCCGAGTATTCCTGGGTAATGAGTACGAGTGTCCTCGAGGTCACCGTTTCTTCTGCAGTGGTCCAGAGAAGATAATAAAGGTTTCGAGCACCAGCACTGTGAAGGTGAATGTCAACATATACAATAACAGGGCTCCAGATAAGGGCCGTATCGGATAAAAAAATAGGCACGATACGGTAGGAAAACGTAGCAGATGTTTTATTGTTTATTGACCTGTTTACATGAAGACTAGCAATGTTGTGGTGCATATATGAAACGAAACACAAGGTTACTGATTTGCCATTATATTCCATTCAGCACTCCTATATTGAAAAAATAAGGTGAGGTGAAATTGGGTTTAACGTCGTGCTTGAGAATATTTCACTCATATGACGAGAAAAAATATGGAGAACGTACTCCTGATGTTGAAATATACGATAACAGTGACTGGTATGATTGTTCAGGTTCACTTTGGCATTTAATATACCCCATGTTTCATTTCAGGACAATGCCAACAAGCTTCTGACCATGGACATGCCTCTCTACTGCCCCTGTCACTGCAGGTGAGTCCTCCTTGCTGTACTGCAATTTAACATGAACATGATTTTACACAATTAGCCTATTTCATACAAATGACTTGCTTCTTGATCTACAGGAGTGCCAAGGGTTACATGGCGCAGCTGATGCGGATATTTGTGGTGACTCCAGACGGACCAATCAGAGTTCAGCTGAAGCCTCAAATACAGCCTGCGCCAGGGTCGTGTCCTCTGTTCTATCCCGGCAATGATGAGTCCATGACCTTACCACCTGGACAGATCTGGGTGCTCCGCTTGCCGTATCCTTTGTCATACAAGTAACAATTCTCATTGGATAATTTGCCATACAAGTATCAAAGCAAATCGTTGCAATATTTATCATCTTGTGGAACCTGCTATTGACATGAGTAACCACAAACACAAGTGCGTAATGTTTGCCTAAAGATGGGTATTATTATATTAGTTATCCAGTTTTAAATGGATACAATTTCAGATTATAAATCTACATATTACAAATGCATTTTTATTGTCCTTGACCATTTTCAGTCATGTATTCCTTGGTGACCAGGGTGTGTACAGCATGCCCTCTGACCCCCAGCAGATTTCACTGTGTCACATAAAGAAGGGTCTGTTCCAGTACAAGGAGGTGTCGGCAGATGGTTGACTGCAGTAGCAGCACCCCGGATGTGGTCTGGAATCAAGTCTCGTGGTCAACATGTCTTTGTTGTGATGTCAGCTGATGTTCATGTTTTGTTGCAATGCATATGGGTTTCTGACTTGATCCATTGCTGCCACAAAAGGTCCCTAATATCAGGGTCGTGACTTGCCATCATGGTGTCAGTTGTCCTCTCACTGTTGCAAGCCTCCTGGGCAGAAAAAGGTGTGCATTCAGAAATTGAATTTAACCACAATCAAAAACATTTGCCAAAACACTGCATCACCATCAATACAAATCAGTGCAGTAAAGTGGTTATTGAAAGATCTTGCCTCGTTATCCCCCACAACGAAATGAGGAGGATGGGATATAGGTTTGAGCTCTGTCCATCCAAGATGATGGGAACAGATTTTCTCCTATATTTGATATGTGTTTTCAGGACATGAATGCCTTGATGGAGTTCGAAAACAGAAACCTTGTTATGATTCTTTACATACTGTAAATCATGAAATTCTCATAAAAAAAATCAATTGATTGTCAAGGTGATTCACTAAAACAACAATTTCTCATAAAATTAATTGACAAATGAGCACTAATTTCCATTACACTGGTCATTGTTTAAAGCACATCAGCCAGGATAATTTCAACAGAAATGTTAAGACCAGTAGTGGCAAGCAATCACATTATCAAACATGGCAGCGTAATAAAAACATTCACTGCTTAACAAGCTGAATTCAGTATTCAAGTAAGAACAACATTCAGGAACCGTGTGGCAGAGATATTAACCATGTCTTTTTGTTTTACACATGCCTATTGATGATGAATATGACTGGGAACAGGTTAAAATGTTTACAAAGAAGGAATTTTGCTGTCCATCTGTGATGCCTACAGGTAAAGAAAGGAATAAATTAAACGTTTCGACTAATGTGTCAGTGGCAGTTTTGACTTCACCTCACGTACTTTGTATCAACCAAGCCGCTGTGCATAACCACCCAACCCAGTTACCGGTATATAATAGGACATGTACTAAAAGTTACTAAAACCTGGATATTCTGGTGACCTCTCATGTGGGGGGCTTCTTGTCTCCTAAGGTATTATTCACCATCTTATGAGATTTGGCCCTTGATGAGGGTTATTAGGAAATACTGACCTGATCTTCAGCAACCCAGGCTTGTGCTCTCCTCTAACAGGATGAGGTGGTCTGGCACAGCGACTTGGTCGATGCTTGTTATCATTTCCCATATTGCCTGGACCGAAGTAGAAGATGTTCAGCGGGCAGTTGTTATGCTGAAAAATTGAGGACTTGGTTATGTTTTTGAAATGCCTGCAATGTACCATCCTCACCACAACCATCCTCACCACTCATTCCCCTGAAGTGAAGCACATATTACATCGGAAGTAATTTCTATACAGTGGCCCATTATTGCAGCTCCCCCATTCCCCAACATGGACATCTCATCTGTTTTCTCTGCCCTCTGGATATAAGTATGTTTCTAATGATGAGGGTGGAACACAAGAACAAAGAATCAATTACAAAGGGGTGGTATTGGATCACTGCACGAGTTTTATTTGTGGTATTCACCACTGGGACACCAACACAGGATTTTCCACCACTCAAAAGGTAGTTTACTGTATTAGCAATAGATGTGGGAGCTGATGATTTGGAGCATTTGGAAGAACAACTGTGTTTTTCTGCTCTGACCATAATTTCAAATCCGAGCCAGGTCAATCAAAAGGCATGGGATCAACTTTTCTTCTGTCTGCATTCATAACTACTCGCCTCTTTCCGTGATCCAGGGGTGGAAATAACTTTAAAATTGCTAGTGTACTCCGGTACAGTGGCACATGTAAAATCACTTGCCCTGATAATTTTCCCACTATACCAGCTTTTTTTGTTGTTGATTTTTTACATAAAGAACATAACTGAACACCGGCAATGGGTTATTTCCACCCCCCTGTGATCTACAAGAAGGTATGACACAAGTAGTTACCAGTGAATTCATGGTTCATTTGAACGACTTTTGACATGTTTAGCAGGTAACAAAGTCTTTGTTCACAGTAAACATATGGAACTGTATTAAGCACGATTATTGTATTATTGGAATGCACGACACCGGGCGACAGCTTGACATTCACCACATTCACAAACACCATCAAACCAACAAGGTTAAGGCACTAGAAATGGCAAACTGAAGCAGCTATGGCTCCCAAACGGAATTCTTTGCAATAGGACTGTAAGAAACTGCATAAAGGCACATGGGATGAGGGCAAGAAGGGTGATCAAGCGTCCAGCCTTGACCAATCTTCACAAGAGAGCTCATTTGGAGTGGTGTTTACCCTGACGTCATTGGAATTTGACGTCATGGAGGAAGGTGCACGTCACAATAACAATGCCTATGAGCCTGAGAATATAAAAGCATCACTTCCTTATTGTGGTGGATCTGTCATGGTCAGGGGTTGTCTATCCCATTATTGTAAACTGGACTTGGTAACTGTTCGTGGAATCCGGGACATTCTGGATCCTGTTATTGTGCCACATTTTGATAACCTCCCATTAGCCACTTGCCCTGTATTTATGGATGACAACGCCTGACCACATCTTTCCCAACTTTTCTCCACTAACGCTGTAACCTAACTTCCATGGCCTCCTAAGAGCCAGGATCTGAACCCATTGGAGTCTGTCTGGGGCATTCTTGGATGCCGAGTGCAAGCACTGGATTCGCCTGTACAAGATCTGACATGTTTGGAAGCAGCTTTGCGCCTGTAGTGGCAGCAGCTGCCTCTGGAAGGAATCCGGAGACTCACGACGAGGAGGGTCAAAGCAGTCATCCCTGCACAAGGTGGATATGCTCGCTATTTACAATTTTCATGTGATTTGTTGTCTGAAGATGACAGAGAACATTTTCAGACTGAGAGACACTCACCTCTTACATTTTGCAACTCTGTAGTCCCATAGTTGTACAGGGATACCTTTTGTTGAGAAAACATCGTTGACGTTTTCATGTCATTTTGTAAACTAAAATATTGCAAATTTTCATGGTTTTGTTGTTATCGTTTAGTCCAAAATGTCAACTTTCAGGAAACAATGTTTAAGCCTTCCAGTTTACATACTAATGGTAATGGTAATGGTTCATGGCAATATGAAAAAATCACGGGGTGTTTAATCCATGTGTATAGATTTACCTTCCTTGACGAGGGACCATGAATGATTTGGTTCATAAAAAATACTGACCCATGCCTGTCCTCGAACGAGATCCGGTGGCCAGACTTGGTTGATACTTGTTCTCATAAACCAGTTTAACGGTGCTTTGGTGTCAATCACTGCATTGCCTGGACCAAAGTGCAGTTGTAATGCTGAAAAATATAAGTGTGACAAACATGAACATTTATCTCCAGGACAAAATACCATCGTGACTATATTTTTGAAATGATGGAACCTAACAAGGACAACTGACATCAAGTTACATGAACTCAAGCACCCTCCTCTCCGCAATGAACCATCCTCAACACAACCCTCATTTTTATCCTTCAGAACAAAAAGGTTACGAATCATAATCGTGGACATCAGTACACTACAGTGAGCGAGTGAGTAAAGATTTAACGTTACAACAGCAATATCGGCCATATCGTGACCCGTGCACTACAGTTCAGGGCCTCCTTTCCCAAAGCACCAAGATGATCGTGAGTCACTAAGGTTAAGCTTAGTAAATGTTGCTTCCTGAAAGGAGCCCCTGACTTGCCCAGCATGGACATATCAGCTGTAAGTCAGTTGGGGTATTCTTTGTCCTCTTAGACATCTGGGTGTTGTTGTATAAAGCTAACTTGGTGCTAAGGTGACCATAACTTCCATGCCTAAAAATAGACTAAAGGTAGTCTTAGCACTAAGGTTGTTTTATACAACAGCACCCAGTACACGTTCATGCCTCTAATGAGGATCGAACTTAAAAAAATATGGATACAAGTATCAATTACAAAGGCGTGGTATTGGTTTACAGCCTGGCCGTCAGATCTTCCAGAGTATGTTTTCAAAACAGCAATATTTCTGACCGCTACACAGAAGAGAATAGTTACCATGTACATGATCAGAAATATGGTGTCAACGATTGCTAGCTTAATGGTGAAGTTCCTATTGAATAGAAAACTTTGACTGCATGTGTTTCTTAGCATACCAAGCTTTAAATCAAAGTACACACTGTCCGTCAGTCTGTCCAAATTGCTATTCTTAGTTAATTGGTGAATGATTAAAATTCAGCCATATCGTGACTATGACAGCCACATATTGACCTTAAACGATATGAATATCTTTCATCACAGGACAGATTCAGATTTAGAACTAGCAAGTAATCATGAAACGATATTCCTCTAAATGACACAAATAAAACCAGACAAAAGATCGCACAGCAACTGAAGAACTGAGAGCTGCAAGGACCCTAGCTCTTCAGATTCCAGCGATTACAGACTAATGCAGCCATGAATTAAAATAACGTAAATTCTATGATTAAGTGAGTGAGTTTTGTTTTGACGCCGCACTCAACAATATTCCAGGTATATGATGGCAGTCTTTAAATATTCTGATCTGGACCAGGCAATCCAGTGATCAACATGATCATCGATCTACGCGACTGAGATACGATGACATGTGTCAACCATGTCAGCGAGCCTGACCACACGATCCCGTTAGTTGCCTCTTACGACAAGCATGGGTTACTGAAGATCAATTCTAACCCGGATCTACACGGGTTTCTATTATAGAACAACCCGGTTAACGTAATACGTAATGTCCGGATGTCATGTCCTAGTTGTTACGATGCTGTTGTACAAGTCACGACTGGGACACGGGATTTTTCACTTGATGTTGGGGGGGGGGTTGTGAGCGAGTTTGCTTTTACGCCGCTTTAAGCAATATTCCAGCAATATCAGGACGGGGGGACACCAGAAATAGGCTTCACACATTGTACCCAACCCATCACAAGAAGCCCAGTGTCAAGATGTCATCATATGAGTGAGTGAGTTTAGTTTTACGCCGCTTCAAGCAATATTCTAGCAATATCCTCACACTGTGCCCATGAGGAGAATCGAACTGAGGTCTTCGAGCGAACGCTTTAAACACTTGGCTAGCCCACCGCCCCTCCTCATATAAGATAAACGTATTGTTGACGGTTTCACAAATGTAGAGTGTTGGTTTCACACATGCTGTTTCACAGATAATAGGTTATGGTGGGTTAGACCGGACAAGTTTCTAAAATGAAATGGGAATCACACATTGTACCCATGCGGCAATCGAACCACGAGCCATCAATCTCTTCTCCACCACCAGCACTGCAGAAATTCTGCACCTAAACAATGATTTCACTACTACCCTCCCAAGCTTGGCGACAGTATTATCAGCACCACCCTTCACCCAACAAGTAAACTGGTCGCCAACAAACCCGAAGTACGACCCATTGGTATCTCTCTCCCCTTCATAGGAAATACCTCCCACCACATCAGCCGTCTCCTGAAGAGACAAGCCAGCATCGAAACCTAATGGCATTAACACCTCTAAAGAACAACAACAACCGAAAGGTGTTATCTACAAGATCAACTGTGACTGGTGAGGCCTATGTAGGTGAAACTTCCTGCCCCATAAACATCAGAATCAAAGAACACTTAACATCTACCACAAAATCAGACCGAAATTCAGCAATCTCAGACCACATAATCAACTGTCCTAATCACAACATAAATTGTTACAATGTCAAAAAAACAAAACAACCCAAGACGTCACCAAAAGTAAACTGACAGAAGCAGTTCAAATCTGCCGACACAGGCTCTCAATTAACAGAGACCATAGATATCTCTTACCATCTGTATACATTTTAAAACTGATACAACTAAAGAGCACAGCACTCAAACCATCAACGATAACTACTGTAATCCTATCAGCCATGTATATTTGTTCCGCCTCATGGCTGGCATGAAGTGAGCGAGTATGGTTTCAAGCCGCTTTTGGAAAATTAATATTCCAGAAATTTCACTGTTGGCGACACCAGAAACGGATTTCACACATTGTACTCATGCGGGGAATAGAACCAGCCTGATGAGCCAACGCTTAAATCCCTAGGCTGCCCCTTGCCCCTTTTATAAAAAAATTGTCTACAGGACATATGTCCTGGTTTTGCTGTCTGTTTTCATCTAACATTTATCCAACTAAAGTAATTGTTTTAGACGAGGTATAGACTTCACATCCCGAAAATATATGCTTTCTTATGAATAAAAATAATGATGGGTGACAAATATCATAGTTGTACTCGAATTCCTTTCTTCTAGAATACCATATAGCATAACCATATATAGGTGGGGATGGGGGGATTTTGGTGGCGGTTAAGATATTGATAAAAAACAGATAATATTTAAAAACATTACTTTGTATTGATGGTTTTTACCAGGTTTCCGAAATCTTGAGGTTACTTTATGCACGTTCGGGGCAAATGGTAAGATACTGGATTATTTTGAGGTTTTAATGCTAAAATGGTTGGAGCACTGACAGACAACTGGATGTCTGGGCTGAGATAGTTATCCAATCCCGCATTACATACCGGAGGATACGAATGAACATTCCGAAGCAAGGATTTATTTTACAAGAGGCCTGTATATGCATAGATTGTGTTTGTCGTGAAATTGTGAATGACTATGTTTTTCGAATGGAAGAATACATCTATATTAAAAATATCGCTTGACCATATAACTGTAATGAAAACCTGGCTAATGTATTCTTGTCGCGGGGCAAAGACTTGCTCTTAACCTAACACTATTGTTCAACAGTTAACATACAAGTTAAATTGGTTATATAAATGGACCTTGTACAAACTTTTACCTACACTTCATCCACAAACCGTACACTGTTCACAACTGGAAGGTGAAGTTTTTGCATTGTTTTATTATTTTTAATTATTGAAAACATGTGTTTATCTGCCAGTATAAACCTCATTTTCAGGGTCCTATGTCCATACTTACATACATTCTTTGTGTTATTCCATCATCATCATCAAGGTTTTTTTTCTAAGATTTAATTTGATTTCTAGCTTATGGAGTGATGAGAATAGAGTTATCTTAAGCTTAATAGACTAAAAACGGCTTATGTTAAGAGAGGTGAGGTGAAATGCCGAGCGCGAGGCAGCGACCAACAAGTACCATATTTTAACGTCTTTTGGTATGAGGCGCCGGGGATAGAACCCGCGACCTTCCGCTCTACAGGCGGACGCTCTAACCACTACACCACGGAGGCGGTCTCATTGGGTATGTTGGTTTAGAAAATTTAAATTACATATTTGACAAACAAAATATTGTTAATTTTTATAAAGTTTCATAGTTTACATACATGGATCCTCTGTTGTAATAGGAGGGGCGATCAAATAGTAGTGAGCCTCAACAAGAAAATGATACAAATGCATCTGTTTTTAGGTTTTATTTTTCTACACATTATCTGTCAACCTCAAGCGAATTGGTTTTGCTATGTTCCAGCCTGATGAGCCCATTTTGTTTGACTTTTTATCTTGGTACCCCCCAAAAATGCAATATTTGCAATAAATGCATCACAAACTTCAGGAAACAAAATATGCAAGAAACATGTTGTGTGTTTAAGATAGAGAGAAGCCCGCTAGAATGAAACTTAGATATTAAATTGCATTAAAAAGCAATTTGAAACTATAATCACTTGTTAAAGTGACTCCCCTTTCATGTTTATTGAAAGAGCTTGTTTCGGAGACACTATCCACTCCCCTTTCAGACGACGTAATCGTAAGGACATAACTTATTCTAATGTTTTCACTTATGCATACCATGATGCCAAGGGTTCAAACCAAATACTGAATGGTCACACAAGTGCCAGCTTGAATATCTGGACACAATGTTCTTTAAAACCCAGCCCCCATCTAAATATAAATCAAGCAATCCAAATCTTTGACTGTTGATTATGAAGTCATCCAATACTATACTTAACTATTTCATATGAAGTTATCAGAGGTACCAAATGACAGATCATTTTTCATTTTCTGCAATTTAAGAAATATTACACCCTAATGTGTTGTGATGGCTAATATCTTGTTAACCACAATACACACATATGTTTAGATATGGCTTTTCTAACGATTTCTTCAAAACAAAAAGGAAGCTTTTCAAACATTGGACATCGACATCGACAAAATAGCAAGGCGTACTACTTTTTGACCGCCCCTCGTATCTCTGCGATGTCAATGTCAGGAGAAATGTATAGACTATTTCAAGCATTCCTTGTTCTATTTGAGTGACCACACAAAACCGAGTTGATATATTGTAAAAATACATAGTGCTTCTTGCATGTGAGAATTTATACACGACGTGACGTGACGTGACGTGACGTGACGTGAAATTGGGTTTTACGTCGTGCTTGAGAATATTTCGCTCATATGACGACGTGTGTATGTATGTGCGGCTGCTTGTACTAGCCCAGACTGAAGCTGGTTTTATAGTGCTAGCCCACTGAAATACCACGCCGCAGTAAAGCACGAGAACACACTGTTTATTAATATACTCCATTTATGAGATATAATATATGATATAATATGATATTAAGGCAACTGCTTCTGACACGAGAAGAAATCACAATAATTCTATAAAAGTTGGAATAATGTCCAATGGAAGTGTTTTTCTCTTCGCGGCCCTCTGATCAACTAGGTACAAGTTAGTATATTTTTACTGTTTATATCTGCATCTTTCTTGCTCAAAATTGATATTGGTAAGAACAGTGTCATATGCACCAGTAGTATGGCTAGCATTTTCCAAAATACCGTTTTAAGTGTATATTTTAGCTGTTATCCCCAAAAGCGCAACTATGTTTTTCCCAATCACTTTTCGTATAAATACGATTACGTACAGCCACGTAAGGTTAAAGGTAGAGGTCGTTTGAGTTTGTGCTAAGGGACGGTGACGCTTCAGTGAAGGTGCTGACACCGTTATCAAACACGCGTTCGCCTTCCTCTTCAAGAAGTTCTTATCCAAACATTTCTATACGTATCCCCTTACTGTTTATGTGGGATCTGCTTGAGAATGTTCATGTTTCAGTTTGTGTAGCCAATCTCTTCGTCTAGATCGTTATTTTATCTATATATTTATGTATGTAAAATACGTCATTGTTCCCAGGTTGACTCGGGTTATATTCTGCTATTTCCTAAACTAGATATCAGATTTAAAAAGGTGTTTACAGATAACTAAAAGTCAAAGAGGCTTATCTGTCTATAATAGCTCCTTTGAATAGATGTTATTCACAGTACGAATACTATATATCGACGTAAAGCGTGCCTTCCGCCTAAACTGCTGTATGGCATTGATATACTATGCTCAGGCAATAGCCCACATAACGATTCTTCTTCAAGATTTACTTAACAAGCACATAATAATTTAAGTGTGCCGCATATCACCTCACTGAAATAGCTCCGTGAGTATGCAATCATGAAGATAGTGAGTGAGTGAGTTTAGTTTTACGCCGCACTCAGCAATATTCCAGCTATATGGCGGCGGTCTGTAAATAATCGAGTCTGGACCAGACAATCCAGTGATCAACAGCATGAGCATCGATCTGCGCAATTGGGAACCGATGACATGTGTCAACCAAGTCAGCGAAACTGACCACCCGATCCCGTTAGTCGCCTCTTACGACAAGATAGTCGTTTTTTATGGCAAGCACATGGGTTGCTGAAGACCTATTCTACCCCGGATCTTCACGGGTCCAATCATGAAGATACCTGTCAGGAGTGATGAATTAACTGATAAAGTAGCCCGTCAGCTGAGTATCTATGTACCGAGTTGAAATTATATAGTAATTATATATTTCCCATCATTAAATGTCATTAAAGCATCATTTTTGCCGCAAAATGTTCTCGGATCAATTTCAAGACACAGCACATACCTAAGCTGCTTATGATAGCATGAAATATGTTACTGTTCCAATTCGTTTTGAAGTATGAAATCAGTAAGAGTTCCTTACGTAACCCCCCACCTAATTTTTAACTATAAACTATAGACTAAACAATAGTGTTTGCTCATCACAAAAATAGGCGGGGGTACGTAAGGAACTCTTTCCGAGACATTATTTGGTATGCATATTTACATGTCAGCAACATCAGTAAAACCTTACCATATTACTGAGATGATAGTCTTTCCAAATCTATTTATCTTTTGTGTCAAATGGATAGCTCACCAAATCAGCACAAAACCCCCAAACATTTTCACTGCCTGTGCAACCCATTTCGTTGGTGAATCTGATTGGTATACCTAAGCATGTTTGTAATCATATGGCGATATTTGGAACAAACCAACATCCGAACACCAACCAATTTCAATACTTTCGAGTGATTGATTCTAATATTTTTAGAAGTTGGATGTCTTTCTGTATGTTCAGATACAATTAAATAAACATATTAACACGCATCCTTATCAGATGAATATATATTCAGGTGATATGATTGTAAACCTAATCTTTACAACATTGTAAATGTCTTGTCAATCCAATCTTTACAACATTCAAGCTTGTAAATCCAAGCAGCAGTGCTAGATCCCCATTGAACTACGCACACACACCAGTGATGACCCACTGACCACACTGCCTGCAACTTCCCAATAAAAGCAACGCAAATGAACGCCAATTTTCCACACTTTCCGCCATATTAACGAATCAATGCCGTATGTTTTTTGTATTTTGTGTCCCACACCCACATTCACTCACCTTGTCGTGAAACAGGTTAACGTGCCTGGATAACACAAACTTCGAAAAGAAAACATTTCAAACGTTATTGAACTATGTGTCAAGCATTCTCACCTTTGCTGAGAAACATGTCTTCTCAGTGAAAGACAGCTGCTGAAGCTATTTCATAGTTCAAACTTGAAAGACCTTTGTGTATTGTGTGGGAGCGATACATCGAAGGATAAGGTACTGTTTTGCTGACCTTCTCACAGCACATCAGTGACATATGGTCCAAGGTTCGACTGACATGTAAAGAGGCTCGGGCATTTCGTGCATTCCGCGCATCTGCACGTGCTACGTTAGTCTTTGTTCTGAGGGGACGCAATTACCCGCGCACTTAATTTTCGGGCGTGGCTTGGATCTCGTGCAGTCGCTTCTTCAACTTCGTTTTGGACAATTTGTACCCTACTGAAAGCGTACCTCAGTTGATTGAGTTCTTAAGGTTTTGATCTTGCTCTTTGTTTGTTTTTCGGAAAACATCTGCTGAACCTAATTATTTAACTGGAGCTCACTTTTACATTTATAAGTTAGTAGTAATTCCTGGTTTAGATGCGTATCCTGCGTCGAAATAAGGGCGGCCCTCCTATAACTCTTGAACGAAAAGTCCTTAAAATACACCTCAACTTGTAGCAACATTACACTTCGGGGTAAAACCCATTTCTCGTGTCCCTCGCCGCGATATTGCTGGAATATTGCTAAAAGCGGCGTAAATCCATACTCACTCACTCACTCACATACTCACTTCGGGCTCAACACATAAGGTTGTGCAATATTACCGGTAAACCGGTATATACCGGTACAGCTCAGATACTGCAATATATTGGATCATCCAGAGTTAGCTCCCTTTGGATTATCTGCCCTTGATTTCCATAGGAGAGAGAGTGAGTCAAGTTTTACGCCGCTTGTAGCAATATCACGGCGGGGAACACCAGAAAGGGAGAGAGAGAGAGAGAGAGAGAGAGAGAGAGAGAGAGAGAGAGAGAGAGAGAGAGAGAGAGAGAGAGAGAGAGAGAGAGAGAGAGAGAGAGTCAATTACTTTGTACATAGATTTAAGGAAGGGGGGAGGGGCGGGAGTCATTCATATTGTACATGCTTCTCCATAAGAATCATCATCATCCCCCCAGCCATAAATTAAGAACGATCCCTAATTAAGTGGCTCCAAAAGTGCCAAATATTCTACCAAATGCTTTAAGTTTTATGGGTTTGAATGGTTTCATATGTGACATTTTGGAAGTATTAAGTGGCCTCAAATGTACCAAAATTTATTTTGACTTATTAGTAGAGCCTCTGACTCTGAGTGTCCATTTCACAGTTCATATTATTTTGTTATTTTTGTTTGTTTCATAATGGGACATATACTACAAATCTATCATAAATGCCTAAGTCTTATAAATTTTGTAGGACTGTATAATGACATTCTAGTCAAGGATCGTAGTTATTGGAGGTCACATGAAATTTAAAGCTCAAGTATTTTACCTAAATCATGTTTTTTGTTTCATATTGCAATAGTTCATGTTAACACATGTTTATAGTGGAGTTAAATCTGGATAAATCACTGACATACAGTAACAATAATTACATACTGCATTGAAGTGCGCTCTTGTGATGTTCCTGATTGATTGTTGTTTAACGCCGCACTCAGCAATATTCCAGCTCTATGGCGGTCTTTAATAATCGAGTCTGGACCAGACAGTTCCATGTGCAACATCATGATCATCGATTTACGCAATTGGGATACGATGACATGTGTCAACCAAGTCAGCGAGCCTGACCACCCGATCCCGTTAGTCGCCTCTTACGACACGCATGGGTTACTGAAGATCAATTCTAACCCGGATCTCCACGTGTCCTACACATAATCAGTCATGGAAAATAGATAGTGAAACAGTTAGACATGATATGCAATACACAGACCTTCACGACAACAACTTTGACAACATACGTACGCACACAATGGAGTGGCTTTGATCAACTTTGACAACATACGTACGCACACAATGGAGTAGCTTTGATCAACTTTGACAACATACGTACGCACACAATGGAGTGGCTTTGATCAACTTTGACAACATACGTACGCACACAATGGAGTGGCTTTGATCAACTTTGACAACATACGTACGCACACAATGGAGTGGCTTTGATCAACTTTGACAACATACGTACGCACACAATGGAGCGGCTTTGATCAACTTTGACAACATGTATACACACACAAGTACGCACACAAATTAAGACAAAATCTAAAGTTGTGTTTCTCTTTCGGAGTGCAATCTTGGCGTCTCTGGACTTAACACTGAAACAGCTAAACGTAAATAATGTTTTATCGTCCTTTTGAGCAATGTGTCTTGGGTGTTTCCTTGAAAGTTAGCAACATGTTTTCGATGGAAAAGGCAAAATACCTGCCGGGCGAAAGAAAATACACCCAGGTGTTCGACCGAGTATAGTTTTAATCTTTTGTAATGTTTTGGTCAAATCCAATCTTCAAGTGTATTTACTTTCTTCTGCTCGGCGGTGTATGTATAAAAAGGCTTGGGCCGGCACTGAGCAATTAAAGTTGAATTCTCTCAGTAATGCGATAAGAAAATAGAAATCTTTAAAACACACTTTGCGTTACTATGGTAAGACTGAATAACCTATTTCGTTTACAAAACACAAAGAAACTTTGCTTGTCAAACTCGTTTAAGTTCTTTCAAAACCTACGAAAGGCTAATTGTGAAAAGCATGTGGCTTTTAAATACCTGATAATTCTTCGTTAAACATTGGCATCAGCTTCGGCAAACCATCTGTGCATCGGGCATATTGTAAAGAACGTTTCGCAGATTGGTGTTGCTAATACTCGATTGATCTTTGAACTCTGACACATGAAGTCACGCGATATCACGCACGTTACGTTACTTCACGAGGCCTTCAGACATGTGGTCGCCTTTTGCTTGCTGTAGGATTTTAAAAATGTCAGAATGTAAAACTCGGGTTGATCTGTCTCTTTTTTCTTCAAGCAGTCAAATTAGTTGACTGATTACTATAAAAGCAAAGCATTCCTATAAGCGGTTCCTCACTTTTTCACCGAGTCAGAATGATTTCGTGGGATCTCTTGGTAATTCTCGGACTATGTAAGTACAAGGTTTCTTTTGAGAGTATTCTAAGATTATCTGAAGGATAATTAATCTTAACTCAACTATATCATATCAAGATGATAATTTGATATAACCGTTTTTATGTTGATATGAAAGAATCGGTGTAGGCCTAACTCGCCAGATCGTGTTTCGAAGTCGAGTTTCGCACTACACGTAAGGGTCATGAAAAGTGAACCAAAGTCAAAACATATCGGACAGAATCTTTCGTGGAATGAACTGCAAATCTAACAAACCATTTCCACGATTCATTGGAATTCGTTATAACCATGTTTTAATGTACACGATATTGTTATCCATATAATAAAATAGTGAAAATAGTCCGTTCATAGCATTTTATCACTAATCTTGAGTCCTTTCTAAAATATATGTCTTTCGCAATGAAGGAATTAAAGTTTTAATAGATTGTAAAATGCCTCCAAGACCATTTTTTAAATTTACTTTACAGTTGTGAACAGTTATATTTGATGACAGCCTTTTAAAAATAGTTCCAAGACATCAATTTGGATTCAAAGTAGTACAGTTAGAACAATTAAAATAGTATTCGTTACCATTTGTATCTGCCGTTACCGACAAATACATACACATTCGTCATGATTGGCATATTGCCGTAAACGACAGAAACATGCACATTGTTCACGATTGTTATCTTGCCGTTAACGACAAATACTTACACATTCGTCACTATTGGCATCTTGCCGTTACCGACAAACACATACACAATAGTCACTATCGGCATGTTGCCGTTAACGACAAATACTTACGCATTCGTCACTATTGGCATCTTGCCGTTACCGACAAACACATACACAATAGTCACTATCGGCATGTTGCCGTTAACGACAAACACATACACAATAGTCACTATCGGCATCTTGCCGTTACCGACAAATACATACACAATAGTCACTATTGGCATCTTGCCGTTAACGACAAATACTTACACAATAGTCACTATTGGCATCTTGACGTTACCGACAAATACATACACATAGTCACTATTGGCATCTTGCCGTTACCGACAAATACATACACAATAGTCACTATTGGCATCTTGCCGTTAACGACAAATACTTACACATTAGTCACTATTGGCATCTTGCCGTTAACGACAAATACATACACAATAGTCACTATTGGCATCTTGCCGTTAACGACAAATACATACACATTAGTCACTATTGGCATCTTGCCGTTAACGACAAATACTTACACATTCGTCACTATTGGCATCTTGCCGTTAACGACAAACACATACACAATAGTCACTATTGGCATCTTGCCGTTACCGTACATACACATATCTTCGTCACTATTGGCATCTTGCCGTTACCGACAAATACTTACACAATAGTCACTATTGGCATCTTGCCGTTACCGACAAATACATACACATTAGTCACTATTGGCATCTTGCCGTTAACGACAAATACTTACACATTAGTCACTATTGGCATCTTGCCGTTACCGACAAATACCTACACATTCGTCACTATTGGCATCTTGCCGTTACCGACAAATACATACACATTAGTCACTATTGGCATCTTGCCGTTACGGACAAATACATACACATTCGTCACTATTGGCATCTTGCCGTTAACGACCAAAACATACACAATAGTCACTATTGGCATCTTGCCGTTACCGACAAATACATACACATTCGTCACTATTGGCATCTTGCCGTTACCGACAAATACATACACATTCGTCACTATTGGCATCTTGCCGTTACCGACAAATACATACACAATTCGTCACTATTGGCATCTTGCCGTTACCGACAAATACATACACATTAGTCACTATTGGCATCTTGCCGTTACCGACAAATACATACACATTCGTCACTATTGGCATTCTGCCATTACCGACAAATACATACACATTCGTCACTATTGGCATCTTGCCGTTACCAACAAATACATTCACATTCGTCACTATTGGCATCTAGCCAAGAACGACCAACACATACACAATAGTCAGTATCGGCATCTTGCCGTTACGGACAAATACTTACACATTCGTCACTATTGGCATCTAGCCGAGAACGACCAACACATACACAATAGTCAGTATTGGCATTTTGCCGTTACGGACAAATACATACACATTCGTCAATATTGGCATCTAGCCGAGAACGACCAACACATACACAATAGTCAGTATTGGCATCTTGCCGTTACCGACAAATACATACACATTCGTCACTATTGGCATCTTGCCGTAAACGACAAATACATACATTCGTCACTATTGGCATCTTGCCGTTAAACGACAAATACATACACAATAGTCACTATTGGTATTCTGCCGTTACCGACAAATACCTACACATTCGTCACTGTTGGCATCTTGCCGTTAACGACAAATACTTACACATTGGTCACTATTGGCATCTTGCCGTTAAACGACAAATACTTACACATTAGTCACTATTGTCATCTTGCCGTTAACGACAAATGCATACACATTCGTCAGTATTGACATCTTGCCGTCAACGACAAATACTTACACATTCGTCACTATCGGCATCTTGGCGTTAGTGAAAATAGACATCACAACCAACTATGGTTACATTGAATCCCAATTCCTTGTTTCATAAGAAAATGGCATTTACAAATGAATTTTAATTTTAAACTTTAATAACATCGTATTTCTACATTTATGGCGAGGTGTAGGCAGCATGACCTTAACTAAGACGTCACAGAATGCCCCTTTTTGATGAGGTCGTAAAATGATTCACAATGCATCTGGCTCACTGGTTACACTTGTTATGTATTTGGTGCACTTATTCAGAGTAGTTCTGTAACGCACAATGTGATTGATATAATATCAAGCCCGTACCATACCGCAAAATCTTTCTAGCGGCAGAGCCTCGTTTTGAGATTTCCACGATTTCCATGTTTCCGTTTTAGACTATTTGTCAGAGCTCGCTGTACGACAGAACACGCTGCACGACGTGTTTGCAAGGATTAGAAGGAGTGTAGCGTTGCAATATACAAGGCTTAGATGTATCAAATAATACTGATTAATATTTATGTATCCAGTTAAATGAATTGATCTCAGAATTCGGGACTGGTTATTGTACTAAGTTGCGCAATAGGACGGAACCCAGTCAACAGGAAACGAGACTTGTGTAATCAATGTTTTGACTTGCGTCACTGTTGGCATTTTACCGTTACCGACAAACACATACACATTCGTCGTTATTGACATCATTTGTGTCTTTGCCGTTACCGTCCGAACACATACATTCGTTACTATTTGTGTCTTGAAGTTTTGTAACATTTGTCTTTTGTGCCTACATGTCAAATGTTCTAGATAAAGTTATTTCCTGAGGTGAAATGACGTTTTACGTCGCGTTCAGTGGTACCAACGTGAGTGCTTTAGCCTTGCTCCAAGGCTGTACTAACTGCTAAGCCCATGAAAGTAAAGTAATTATATCCTTTAAAGTGGCAAGTCTAGATAAACGGACAGGACGACAGTCTATTATTTATATTGTTTTGGAAATTTTCAAACTATTAATTCTTGCCTTGGGGACTTGAGCAGGTCTATGGTTGCTTGCCCTGCCGGTTGTATAATTGATGCCCACTGAAATACTGTGCCGAATTTAACATGTATGTTATCATGATTAAATACTAACACCGGGGGCAGAGGGGTAGGCTAATGGTTACAGCGTCCGCTCGTCACGCCGAAGACCCGGGTTCGATTCCCCATAAGGGTACAATGTGTGAAGCCCCATTTCTGGTGTCCCCCGCCGTGATATTGCTCGAATACTGCTAGAAAGCGGCGTAAAACCATACTCACTCACTCTTTTGATGACAACAAAAACGACTTTTCAACGTCTACCGGTACTATGTAGCTGACGGATCTAACCCACAATCTTGAGTTTTCCAGGCGTATGCTCTATCCCCTGAACCAAAAAGGTGATTCGATTATGGAAAGCTTTTAGTCACTTTTATTTAACCTCACATGAAGTGTGTGTGTGTGTGTGATCCTTTGTTTTAGATATTCGACATTCTATTTTCATCTTTACCATTCTCCTCCGAGTCATACCTATTGGGGCGGTGGGGGTAACCTAGTGGTTAAAGCGTTCTCTTGTCACACTGAAGACCCGGGTTCGATTCCCCACATAGGTACAATGTGTGAAGCCCAGTTGTGGTGTCTTCCGCCGTGATTTTGCTGGAACATTGCTAAAAACGGCGTAAAACTAAACTCACTCACTCATTATTATTACATGTACAATTATGATAATAATTAAGATGTAAGCACAAACACACAAACTGATGGCCAGAGGAATTCCAACTGATATTTTACAACTACTTCTACATAATACTAGTATCCTCGCATGTTACAACAAAAGAGCCGGTTTCGATTCAGTACATGGGTACAATCTGCGAAGTCAATTTCTGGTGACCCCGCCGTGATATTGCTGGAATATTGCTAAAAGCCACGTAAAACCATACTCACTCACTCATTATTATGATAATACTAAAATAATTAAGATGTAAATACAAACACACAAACTGATGGCCAGAGGCTGATATTTTACGACTTCTTCTACAGGTTTGGTGGTTCTTTTACCGGCTGACTGTCAACGACCGACATCCCGACCAACACGCCGACCCATCCCCGAGTCTTTACGATGCGGGAAGGCGGGCAACTTCCCAATCAACGGGAACTGCCGAGCCTTCCTATCATGTGGCAGTTCACTCTATGAAGGCAGCGTGATGCTGTGTCCTACTGGAACTACGTTTAATAGCGATGTCGGAAACTGTGACAACACGCAGAGTGAAAACGTTCGTTGTCCTAATGGCCGTCGTCCAAACAACAACAACAACAACAACAACAACAACTTCAATTCTCGTCGCCCTAACAACAACAACAACTTCAATTCTCGTCGCCCTAACAACAACAACAACAACAACTTCAATTCTCGTCGCCCTAACAACAACAACAACAACTTCAATTCTCGTCGCCCTAACCTTAACAACAACAACAACAACAACAACTTCAATTCTCGTCGCCCTAACAACAACAACAACAACAACAACAACTTCAATAATCTTAACAACCCTAACAACAACAACAACAACAATTTCAATAATCGTCGCACTAATAACCAGCGTAATGCACGACGTAACGTGTTCCAAGGTAAGATTTGAAAGATACTCTTCCAACCCAAATCCACAAACGTGTTTGACTTTGGCCAGATACTGGATACGCATTCTGTTGTAGTGACATTTTTCCTTCTACCAGAGAGGTCGACCAGATGGTTCTGGGCGACGCTATTCATTGTGAAGTTGCCTTCTCTTTGTAAAGGCGCGGTCTCATCTTACAGTCATCTGCTGGACCGTAGTGATTGCCGTAGTACAGCGTAGTTTGATCGTAGTGCCATGTTATCACGGTGTACTACGGTCTACACCACGGTGCAGTAGGGTTACTTGGGAGAAGTAGGGTCAATTACGGTCTACTTGGGAGAACTAGGGTCAACCATGTTGAAACTGTGGTAACAGTATGGTCTTGATATTCAAGCTAACCGTAGAGATATTTTGAACATGTTTGCAATGTTTTTGGTCAAACCGAGGCCAAATCCTGGGTTTGCTAAGTTCAAAGTACGGTTATAACTACGGTGGTCTACGTTGAACTACGCTTAAATACATCTAACTTCGTTTAACTAAGGTCAAATACGGTCTACTACGTTCATCCCCCCACTACGTGCGTGTCCGTGAGATGTGACCGCCGCTTAATGGGGTATGGCCCCATTCCATCAAACGATCTTGGCGCCACGATCATTGTAAGCCTTGATTAAAGTACTGGGCCATGTTTCACAAAGCAAACTTAGGTTTATGGTTGTCGTAACTCGCATACTTTAACATAGCCTTACGACCATCTTAGTGTTACGATGACTTTGTGAAATGGGCTCCTGGGCATCCTTTCACAAAGCACTAAGGTGACCGCAAGTCACTAAGGTAACCTTAGTGCAGTGTTAAAGAATGGGAGTTAAGGTAAACCTTTGTAAAGGTTGCGTCGTGAAAGGACCCCTTATACGGTCAATTAAGATGAGTTCCCTATGCCTATGCTATGAGTTCCAATACACCATGTAAATAGGCATTTGTATCAGTAAAATGGAAAGACAAAAGTAGGTAAGATAATGTGCCACAAATATACCACTATGGGATACAAAACGTATCTTATGTTGTTTTTTTATACGAAACTGTCACTTTGAAAGTGAATCCATTTATGTTTATGCGAAACACTCATCCTGCTTACGAACATAAATTTATCGTTTTCCAGGGTCAAGGCAGGTTATCGTCCCTCTCACTCTTCCCAGGGGACCAGACAGCGTCTGCGATCAACTTGAAGACGCAATTAACAACGACTTCCGATCACGTGTCCAAGGCGCAGTTGGAGCCGTGCCCAACATTCCCTACCTAAACCTGACGTGTACATTCGAGAACCGGAATCAGAACCAGAATCGGAATCAAAACCGGAATCAGAACCGGAATCAGAACCAGAATCAAAACCAGAATCAGAACCGAAACCAGAACCCAAACTGGTTTCAGTTCCGGGGCTAATTATGGTAACATTTGTGTAATTGTACTACATTGCAAAAACTAGTGAATGTTGCTGGATTTAGATTTCTAGAAATGTATACACAGAAATCTCGTTAACTCGAACATTTTGGGATCATCGACAATAAATCGAGGTATCAGGAGTGTCGATATAAACTTGAAACTCCGTCAGGGCCGTCAGATGTCATCAATTAAAGCAATCACTACATCGGTAGTGTTTAAGGCATACCGCAAAAAGCATAAGCTATACACTCCATCTAAAATCTATATTATCACAGATTTGACGTAAAGCGAGTTATAGAGTTGATGAGGCTGTTTGGGTGACGGTGAAGCTGTACTGTATTTTCTGACGTGAGTTTTTTTCTATTTCTTCTTTAAGCATTTAAGCAGACGGACTACTATCAAACTAAGCCTGCATTGGTCAAGTCACATGACCTCACGTGAAGTGTCAAGGTCAACTCCCACAGCTTGATTTACGTCACGCGCTACACCTCAAGATTGCATTTATTGTTTTTATTTCTGTATGTCGAATGTTTACAGTTCGTTTGAGTATTCATAATAAAATATATCTTTCATATCCAAACTACAATCTAGTTATTCCACTACTGCAAAGGAAAGATCGACATGTTCGAGTCAAATGATAGCCGACAATAAAGACCACTCGGATTCACTCGGGTCCACTCGTGTCCACTCGGGTCCAATCGGCTTATTGGGTTAACTGGATATTGTTTTGTTTGTTGTTTAACGCGACACTCAGCAACATTCCAGCAATATGACGGCGGTTTGTAAATAAGAATCGAATCTGGACCAGACAATCCAGTGATTAACAGCATGAGCATCGATCAATTCGAACAATTGGAACACCAGTTCTAACCCTGATCAAATGAGACAACACAGTGATTGACATCAAGAGCATAATACGCAACTGCGATATAATGACATGCATAAACCAAGTCAGAGAACCTCACTCCTCGACCCCGACAATTCAAATCCGGATCTCCACGGGTTGCTGGATAATAACTCATTTTCCAAATGAATTTCGTCGTACACCACGTGACACCAAATCTTTTCACGTGAAGGTTGCACAACACAACGGCAGTTGTGAGATCATCTGTACTTAATGGTACATAAGCATTGCAATGGCGTTACAATTTACCATGCAGAGTTTCGTCCCTGAAGCGTGACAGGATCCAGTGATCTTAAATTCGAATCCCAGATTCGATTTGATAAATTAAATGATACTTGGTTTGCCATTGCTGCGATCGTTGTTAAATTTAAGACCTGTGTCCCTTCATGGTTTTTTTATGGTTTACATACACTCGCTCACTTTCGCTATTAGAGGTGAACATTTTATTTCCCGGGAAAGATGGCACTATTAAGGGGAGCGTCAGTTGTATATCAGTTATATCAAACTATATTTGGAATCCGGGGTTAGAGTGAGTGAGTGAGTATGGTTTAACGCCGCTTTTAGCAATATTCCAGTAATATTACGGCGGGTGACACCAGAAATGGGTTCCACTCATTGTACCTATGTGTGGAATCGAACCCGGGTCTTTCGGCGAGACGAGCGAACGCTTTAACCGCAAGGCAACCCCACCGCCCATTGAGGTTAGAATATATGCTTGTGGGAGAGGCTTTTAACTGGATTACGAAGTCAGACCCGGTTGGTTGCCAGTCACCGGATCCCAGTAGCGTGGGTCCATACGTCCTGGGTATGGGTGGTAGCGGCGTTAACGGAAAGAAACAAAATAGGGGCCAAAACAGAAAAATATGGCGGATCCTTAAATCAACCAGTCAACCAATACTCTATACAGAATGAATGCTTTAGGCCCATATACAAGCTAAGATTTACAGGTATGGTTGTGGCTGTGTAAAACATGCTACACATAAGTTAACAAATACTTCTTTTATACGCATGACAGATAACCAGGCTTACTTATTCTACTTCTTCTGTATTATTTGAGGCAATTATCTTTTAAAATGTATAAAGATTTAATTTAGTGATACATGTCTTGGACGATATTTCATTCAAAGAACATCATAACTTGTGCGTGCAAGTAAAATATTACAGTTATCTTCTATACCTCGATCACATGAGGGACGGTTTCTTCTGAAGATATCTATGTTTCGCAACCTCCCTTCGTGATATATCAACTAATACACCAACCTCTGAACTTCACTGAAACATTTGGAAGCCTATGTTTCACGTCACGACGCACTGTTACAACAACGCTTTAGACAGCAACCATAACATTTTAGATCCTCCACACTGTTCAACAAACCAGAACGTTGTTTGTTATAAATATTTATTCAATAAACAAAACAAAGCAAAACACCCCGATACAAGATGTTTCGTGGGCCTTTAACTTCCCAATCAGTATGCGTATTGAGAAGATAGGTGTGTTTGTAAATACTCAAGTGTCAACCTTTGCTCAAGACAGCAAGAATCACGTTCAGTTAGTAAACTTCTAGAGGGGGAGCCTGGGGCAAAAGAGGGTTCCGATAGGGAGTCTGAGGCGTCCGTAACTGTGGTTCGTGAGGAAGAGGATTATCTATATCACAAGCTTGAGATTACAGAATCATCAGATCTAAAAAAAACCCATTATTTTAAAAAGTTACTTTCAGTTCCACTGAAGCAGTGAGTTCCAGCAATATCATGTTTAGGGACACCAGAAATGGCCATCACACATGTCAGGAATCGAACCCGGGTCTTTGGCGTTACGAGCGAACACTTTAACCACTTGGCTACCGCCCTCCACTGAAACGGAATGATCACAGTCCTATTGAATCAACTTCGAAACGTAATATGTGTCACAGCGCTGATGCTTCTATTGGCCTGGGGGTTTGACAACATGTTGGTTTTCAAACGGGTTGATAGCCCCGGGGATGAGGTGAGGGACTGGCATGGTGGTGGGGGTGGAGGCAGAGACAGAGGTGACCATGGGTTCCTGAGTCGTGGGTACGGGCCGTACAGGTACCGGCCTGGGAGCAGGAATTTGACTGTTAGGTGGGGTGAGCTGTGTGAAATTTGGACGCTGCCCTGAAGGAACCGGAAGTGGTGGAGATCTCTCTGGTTCCCCCTCTTCCTCCTGTTCTTCATCTTCTTCGAATTCCTTCTTCGGAGAAGCTTGTGTGAATGGTTTAGTGTTGGTTGGCTGTGTAGCTTGTGAGGGAGGGGGGATCTGTTTTCTGATTGGCACAACTGACATAATGGTTGGTTTCAGCTGGGCTGAGTTCACGTGTCTTGTCGGGGTAGTTTTCTTATTCTCGCCTGTTAAGAAGCGAGGCAGATTGTTGGGCTTGTGTGGTTCGTCCACGATACCGCTTTGCAAAGGATTAGGAACTTGCAGATTGTGTTCTGCAAGTGTTGAGTGATGGTTCTGACGTGTTGGGTTCGAGCCTGGCATGGAACTTAGAACATCAGGAACAGCAGCATGTCGATTGTTTGTTTCAGGTAATCCCGATGAAGCGCTAAGGATATCAGGAACAGTTGTCGGCTGACTGTTGATTAACCTCGAATTTGGTGCTAATGGATTACGAACAGTTTGACTTGGCGGTGCCACGTGTACATGAGGCTGTCGGTCCTGCCCATGACTATGAACGATTACATGACTGTGTGGCTCTGCACTCCCAGGCTGCTGACTGGGTTCTGGCTGAAGCAACAGGAGCAGGTGTTGTTTGAGCTTTCAGTTTTGCCTCGTGGTTTTTCGTAATCACATGGACCAACATGTCAACCAGCTTCTTCTGATCCTGAGAAGGCTGTGCTGGTGGAGTTGGTGTTGTTGGTGTTGTTGCTGCAGACAGAAGTCCAGCACCTCCTCCTACACCCTGAACTCCCTGTTGTGGGAAGAAATTATTAACAGCCCCCCTTGCTGCAAAAGGGCTGCTGGCACCACCAACAGGAATGCCCCGAAAGGTTCCACCAAGAGGATTGGCTTGACGTCTCTGACCCAGCATTAACCCTGGGAGTTGTGGTGCGGCCTGTTGGCGGACGAAAAAGGGCTGCACTCTTCTGTTCCCCAGTCTCATGTTGGCATATCCATAATTTTGACCCAAAGCAAGTGATAAGATGCTGCCTACAAAATAAATAATACAAAATATACATTTCTTTAGACTTATGAAAGCATAAACATGAGGGAATAACCTATAATAACATGTGCAATACATTATATATATATATTAATTGATTGAATGATAAATTTTCAATGGTTTCCATGACAACGAGTTACCGTGGTTTCATTGTATTAGATCTGTCCATCAACCATCAACCATCACTCTCGAAGTGGTGGGGTAGCCTAGTGGTTAAAGCGTTCGCTCGTCACGCTGAAGTCCCGGGTTCGATTCCCACATGAGTACAATGTGTGAAGCCCATTTCTGGTGTCCCCCGCCGTGATATTGCTGGCATATTGCTAAAAACCGACGTGGCGTAAAACTAAACTCACTCACTCAACCATCACTCACCTAATACGGACAGTGTAAGTACAACCTCTGTATCCATCACGACAAGCAGAGACAATGGAGATGAATTTGAAGTTGACGATAAGAACTTGTATTTATATAGTGTATCCATGACGTTTAAATAGTACACATTTCTCTACGTCTCCACCCAATATTAAAATTTAAAGTGCTTGATATTTTTTCCCGTTTACGTCACGGAATTGCAAAGCACGCCCATCTATTGTTGTTGTTCCTGGATTGGAAACTATCAACCTGTCACAAATATTTTACCAGTGTACGCGAGGCTTAATCCATGTACTTCCTGCCAGATAAATACTTTAACAGTTTATCCACAGCTCTTGCACAGCCCTGACCAGTGTGAACGTACGCGTCAACTGTCTATACTTGTCTATACCATGAAGAAAAAGTAATATATAACACTAATACTTAACGGGATATTTTTATAATATTCTTCAAACAGTATTCATCACATATATAGTATATAAATAAAACATACCCATAAGAGGATTATTTAACAATAAACATAAACCATGTTGTAATATCCAACAATACCGAGAGATGAGTTCGACACAACTGAGAATTCATCTCAACCGAGTTCGAGACATTGGGGTTCGACTGTACATCTTAACTGTAGAGTAATGTTAAACAACGAGCTAGGGCTCACCAAGAAAGCAAGAAAGGGTTTAACACAATGTTGGTGGGTTGTTTTGATGTGTCACGCCGCAATGTTCCAGCTATATGGCGGCGGTCTGAAACTAGTCGAGTCTGGACCCGACAATCCAGTGATCAACACCCTGAGCATTGATCTACATCAATGTAGCGAGCCTGACCATCCGATCCCGTTAGTCACCTCTTACAAGCATGGGTTCCTGTAGACCAATTCTAACCCGGATCTTCAGGGTTCTTATCAACATGTAACCATGCGGATCGAAAGTAATGCTTTGGTGAGGAGTTGTAAGTAATGAATGACATACCGGTATTGATAACAGAAGCAGGAACAGTGCTTAAAATATACTTTTTAGCAGAAACAGTGTTAAAAATAATATTCTATATTGTATATGTCATTTCAAAATTAATATCAACAACAGTTATTGATGGACTGTAAAGAATCGAATCTGGACCATACAATCCAATGACTGACATAATGAACATCGATCTACACAAGTAATATACGATGATATGCATCGGCCATGTCAACGAGGATATCCACCCAATCCCGTCAGTCGCCTCTCGTCACGTCGAAGGCTCGAGTACACTTGACCAACTTGTGAATACCATTTTCAGTGTATCTCGTCAATCCTGGAATATGACAAAGAGCAGCGTAAAATCATACTCACTCACTCTCTTACTTGGTTGACACATATCATCGTATCCCGATTGCGTAGATCGATGTTCATACTGTTGATCACTGAATTGTCTGGTCCAGACTCGATTACTTACAGGCCGCCGCCGTTTAGCTGCTGCCTTTAACATTAAGAAACAAACACTCACTCACTCACTTTAGCATACATTTTCATTGTTGTTACTTCTATCTAACTTATACTCCAAGGTATTATATTAAAACGTCAACCGTTTGTATAAAATGTCACATAACTCCCCGGGATCCACACAACAAAAAACAACAACACTGTGCTGTACTTGTTTTACAAAGGAAATAGGTTCTGTGGTTTAGCGATCGTTCCTTCTGGTTTCAATGTCTTTAAAGGAAATTTAAAACCCCAAATACATGCGTTTATCCGGCTTAGCGGTCTCTGGTTGGATGTTTTGAGAACAAGTCCCTGGTTTCCTTGTGTATTACCGCTGCCTCTAATAATGGAGTCTGGGCCACAAGATGATGATGAGGTATGCTTTTACACCACTCTAGCAATATTCCAGCAACATCGCAGTGGGGAACACCAGAAATTGTCTTCACACATTGTACCCATGTGGGGAATCGAACCCGGGTCTTCGGCGTGATTAGCGGACGCTTTAACCATTAGGCTACTCCACCGCCCCGTGTCTGGACCACACAATCCAGTGACTAATATCACGAGCATCGTGGGATACGATAACATACAATCAACCGAGCCTGATCACCTGATCAGTTTAAATGCCCTTTCAAAGAAGTGTATTTACAACTTTAATGTTACTTTAATGAGTTCGAAACCCAGATTCGCCCTGTTTGTGAGCTTGGTTTGTCAGCTGAGATCAATTCTCGTGGGTCCCACAAAAGTGACAAATGTGAACAACCTGCACCCCTCCAAGATTATTTCCAACAGTCATGATACAATTGAAATACCGTGCATGTTCTACAAATGAACCTTTAATGAATTTTAGGCATTACCATTCAACAAGTTTACGAACAACATTTCGGTCTCAGGACTTCCCGTTTTTCATTAGGTTTTATTGGTTTCTCATCTCCAGGTGAGAGGGCGGAAGAAAAATATTTATAAAATGAAAAGATAGAAGGAAATGTATGTTACTAATCGTGTCACTTATTTTATTATATTTAGAATTAAGATCATTTGATAACTGACAAAATTAGGGTAAGATAATTTTTTCACATCAGGATAACAAATTTAACAGCGTCGGGGACCACTGAGAAAAGAACACATCCTTATCTCCTGTCACCTGCAAGTATTTATGCCACAGAGTTGTTTCTATTTCGGTAGCAGTTCATCAAGTAGTCATACACTGTGCTAGTGGAGATGTACCGACAAAAACATGTTTTATAACGGGGTCGGGGGCCCATTCATGAATGGACAACGGCCACTTAGTTGCAGTTTGGCTCGGGCTGCCCTTCTCTGCGGGGACACGTATACGACCATTCTATTGTCCTTTAAGTTGCTACACTAGTCACAGGCATCTCTAAACCTGACAGATATCCCAAGGGAGGATAGAAAAGGTCTGACTAAGCTGAGATAAGGTGGACACAGAGTACAACCCACCAGCTCTTCAACGAATCCACTATGAGGCAAATATGATACATATCACGACTATTGGGTAACTAATATGAATAATTGAGTACAAAAACAAGTAAGCGGCTGAGTGAGTGAGTGAGTTTAGTTTTGAGTAGCACAATATTCCAGCTAAATGGTGGCGGTCTTTAAATAATGGAGTCTGGACCAGGCTGAACTACAGCATAAGTATCGATCTACGTAACTGGGATACGATGGCATCGGCGAGCCTGACCACCCGATCCCCTAGTCACCTCTTACGACAAGCGTTCTGAAGATCAGTTTTAACCCGGATTTTCATTGGTGTGTAAGCGGCTGGAGTATTATTCATTATATTCAGTGAAACAATTACAAAATATACTATTTGACATGTTTTGACCATAGTGACCTTTGTCAATAACATAACAATAACCAGTGATCTATTCTCTTTGGAATATTTCGCTTTCATAAGCTACACACAAATTCATGAATAGCACTCATTTCTAAAAAAACACCATGCATATTCGATGCTGGTGATAACGAATAATGAACTGTATTTAGGAATGTTTTCGGTACCTTTCACCGAATACGTGAGTGATTCGTAACGCTGAGTGAGTGGGTGAGTTGGGTTTTACAACGGTTTCAGCAATATTCCAGCAATGTCACGGCGGGGGACACCAGAAATGGGCTTCACACATTGTACCCATGTGGGGAATCGAATCGATAGCTACTTCCTGTTCGTTAAGGTGGGGTAGCCTAATGGTTAAAGCGTCCGCTCGTCACGCTGAAGACCTGGGTTCGATTCCCCACATGGGTGAGTGAGTGAGTTTGGTTTTACGCCGCTTTTAGCAATATTCCAGCAATATCACGGCGGGGGACACCAGAAATAGGCTTCACACATTGTACCTATGTAGGGAATCGAACCTGGGTCTTCGGTGAGACGAGCGAACGCTATACCCACTAGGCTACCCACCGCCCCTCCCCACATGGGTACAATGTGTGAAGCCCATTTCAATGTGATATTGCTGGAATATTGCTAAAAGCCGCGTAAAACCACACACACTCACTCACTCTTGTTTGTTTCATTTTCATGGCCATCAAACATGGGAATATACGTCCTTTTGTCCGGCAGCTCATTATTTGATCACAGTCACAGTCCAATAATGTAATAAAAGAGATTTGGTTGAACGTCCTTTGGCAGACACATTCTATTTTCAAATCAACAGTCAGTGTCAAACACGTTTATTTTTTCAAGCATATTCTGGAACATTAATATTTTTCTCAATAAACTTCCACAACGAAACTATTCCCTGCTAGAATATCCAATGGTTGGTTCAGTTATATATTTAAGTGACTGGGTGAGACGCCAGAAATGGGTTTCACACATTGTACCCATGTGGGCAATCGAACCCGGGTCTTCAGCCGGACGAGCGGACGCTTTAATTAGGCTAACGCCCAATTATCATATATAAAGAAGACAAACAAAAATATATATTACATGATTTATTCACAATAGGCACGCTCGGTGTCTTTGTAATGATACATGTATAGGTGGATATGTAACATGATAAAACAATGGACAAAGGAAATGAAAAATGAACATAGAGTATCATGTTATAGAGGGGCGAAGGGGAGAAATATATGTATGGCACACCCATGACTTTAAACAAAAAGAATCAATGCAAACACTGGAATACTTGTCGTAAAATAACAATTAATTGATAGACTTAAACGAGTATTGTTAAGAATCCTTTAAGATGTATATGACGAAAATTATGAAAAATATTTCACTACGTTGAGATTCTACTTTATTGCACAGCGTCCCGTGACGTCACAAAATGACTGTGACGTGTTTTAAATATTCCTTATGGTCTGTTGAATACAGTGATAAACTTGGTGATAATGAGATATACAAAATATATACATATGATTAAATGTAAGTAATGAATTCAAAGCTACCTGAATGTTCGATACTCGCGCTTGACATTGTATACCATTCGTGTTCCGATAGACACATAACTTCTTAATGTAATACAGACAGCATTTTTCTTCATCAAATCCTCCACTTTGCTCGTTTGTAATTTTTCAAATTAAAATGACATAACTTAGAATTACATGGAATTAAATGTCCACATTAGAAAAAGGTGATTTTGTAAAGCAGAAAATACTTTAAGAATAATTCTCAGCTTCAACATCTGGTTAATGTTCAACGATAAAAATGGGAAATTTAAGGTTGGATAATAATATCAACAGCGCAGGAACATGATGAACATTCAAAGTAAACCATGCAAATGGATTAACCAAACCCCTGGCAGCAAGCACGAGGTTTGGGGGCCCATGTCATGTCTCCGATTAATGAGCAGCGTTGAACTGTGCTGCTGCATCCATGATAGCCTGGACCTTTGAGGGTTTCTTCTCAGCCTCCGTTGATCCATCCGTGGGCCCTGCGTCGTTGGCATTCTTTTTATCGCTCTTCATGTGAAGCTCGTGGTTTCTGCTGATTACATTCACCAGCATGTCGACAAGCTTCTTCTGATCCTGTGGCGTGGTTGTCGGTGGAGGCGTGGTTGTTTGTGGCTGCGGCTGGAAGCCTCCGGCCAAGGCGGAGAAGCCTCCTGGACCCTGTGGCACCCCAAAGCCTCGGCCTCCCAGAGCTGCTCCGAAACCTCCTGCTCCAAACTGAGGCTGGCCTCTCGCTACAAATCTAGGCTGACCTCCCAGGCCCCCAAGTCCTCCAAATCTGGGTCCTCCCAGTCCTGGTCCCCCCGCTGCAGCTAGGAAGGGATTTCCTCCAAAGTTTGGTCTCCGTCCCTGACCAAAGCCAGCCAGGTTGAACTGTCCCATCGACACGGTCAATACTGCCCCTGTTAAATATCCAGAATGTCTAATTAGAATATTGTGTGGTAACTGCGATCATCAAATACAATGAAAAAATCGATAAAAGCAAATATAATAAAGTATGCGAACTCACATCTATAATAATAATACAAATAATTAGTCCATTTGTATTGCGCCAAATCCACACCGACAGCATGCTCATAGCACTGACAAGACAGAACTTAGGAGTCACTTGTAAAACATAGAGAAAAGGTATGTCTTTAGGTTTGCTTTGAAACATGTGACTGTTGGGCTTGTTCTAATGTGAGCTGGTAGTTCATTCCAGTTCATCGCGGCTGCCACTTGAAAGGAACGAAAACCATAGGATTTCAACTTCCATTTTTGAATGTGAAGTAAGTTTTTGTCACTGGAGCGAAGCTGTCTGCATGGCAGATATAGTTTGAACAGTTCTTTGAGATAGGCCGGAGCAGTGCCTAGTATGCACTGGTAGACAACTGCACAAAATCCCGAGGTGGCTTAGTACATGGACGTAACTGACCACAACGAAAATGTTATTCTAATTACTTGGTTTACTCTGTTTCTACAGAGCACAGATTTGCAAATACACTAGACAAACGTTAATAACGTATTTCCCACTTTGTTGCAAGTTTGATCTGTCCAAAAACCAGTAGTAAAGCACAGGAACACAGGAAATGTTTTTGTTGCTTAAATGTTTTAAACTAAAGCAATCGCAAATTAAAAGCATGAAAAGTAACATGTATGCTTTTGTAAACGTATGCCAAACAAATTCTGACTGGTTAAAAAAGTATACTCACCAAGGACAAACAGACGAATGACGTTCGAGTTGATGGCCATGGTGTTAGTCAGTGTCTTCTGAGGTTTTTCCGATGATCTCACTACTGTGGTGATGGGAATATATACTGTTATGTTAGCACCTGCAGAGTCAGTTATTTCTGCAATGTATATACAACTACCGCTCCGTTAACGACCTTTTCCTTCAGATACTATGCAATACACCGTCAAACACGCCCACATTTCCCTACTCATGGTAGGGGCTGTTTTAGTGATGGTACAGCCCTAACCTTGCATATTATATTTTTCAACCAGGATGGATTCGGAGTAGGAAGTATTGGTTAGTCACTTGTTACATGTGGTTTAATCCTGTTTCATGCAGTCAGTATCGTGTTAAGACGATTGAAAAGACATCATGTGGGTTTTTTTAATTAGGAACTACAGTCTTCGCTCAAATCACAAGCCTAGTTTTCGATAAAGATACTTCTATTCATTTTGGACAAATTTGCCGTAAAATACGCCTGTGTTGTATACAACAGACAACGTTAATTTATGTTTTTATACCGTTCTCCAAAAATGTCTTGGGACATGTATTTATATGTGTATGAATTATTGTTATCATTTGTAACTGATCGTGGGAATTAACACGCTGCTGAAAGTTTGACAAATATAAATAATAATATTTTAATCGATTATATATTCTGTTGGAATTGGCCATAATATACTTTCATACACACACCCATAACAAATTACAATGGCCGTTAAGCATATTTCACATTTCGCATGTTCTTTTTCATGATGTTAAATAAAACCCATTGATAATGTTTTATCGTCAGGGAACACTGCAACACAGAGGAAACATCAGACCGTATTCCCATGGTGATAGGGCTATAACGGGTTTATCTTACCGCCATGCCCCCTCTTGTGTTTTCCTTACATCGGTGTTATACTGAATGTAAACACAATGCTATATAAGAACTAGGCAATTTAGAAATTCGGCAATTCAAACTGTCCAAATATTGTTTTATCTGTTATCTGGCTCGTGTGATCTTGTGGTGAATGTATTTTGTTCGTAGCTATTGGAAGAGTTTTTATTTACAGTATTGGTAAATACTTTACTTGTGTTATTGCACCCTAACAAGGTCCACGTTGTCTGAACTGGCTTTGTATGTGTTATTGTACCGTAACGGTGTGGTCGTGTTCATGTTGTCTGAACTGGCCTTGTATATGTTATTGTACCCTAACGCTGTAGGTCGTGTTCATGCTGTCTGAACTGGCCTTGTATATGTTATTGTACCCTAACAGCGTAGGTCGTGTTCATGCCGTCTGAACTGGCCTTGTATATGTTATTTTCCCCTCACGCTGTAGGTCGTGTTCATGCTGTCTGAACTGGCCTTGTATATGTTATTGTACCCTTACGCTGTAGATCGTGTTCATGTTGTCTGAACTGGCCTTGTGTGTGTTATTGTACCGTAACGGTGTAGGTAGTGTTAATGTTGTCTGAACTGGCCTTGTGTATGTTATTGTACCCTAACAGCGTAGGTCGTGTTCATGCTGTCTGAACTGGCCTTGTATATGTTATTGTCTCCTCACGCTGTAGGTCGTGTTCATGCTGTCTGAACTGGCCTTGTATATGTTATTGTACCCTAACGCTGTAGGTCGTGTTCATGCTGTCTGAACTGGTCTTGTATATGTTATTGTACCCTAACGCTGTAGGTCGTGTTCATGTTTTCTGAACTGGCCTTGTATTGTACCCTGTTATTGTACCCTAACCCTGTAGGTCGTGTTCATGCTGTCTGAACTGGCCTTGTATATGTTATTGTACCCTATCGCTGTAGGTCGTGTTCATGCTGTCTGAACTGGCCTTGTGTATGTTATTGTACCCTAACGCTGTAGGTCGTGTTCATGCTGTCTGAACTGGCCTTGTATATGTTATTGTACCCTAACGCTGTAGGTCGTGTTCATGTTGTCTGAACTGGCCTTGTATATGTTATTGTACCCTAACGCTGTAGGTCATGTTCATGTTGTCTGAACTGGTCTTGTATATGTTATTGTACCCTAACCCTGTAGGTCGTGTTCATGTTGTCTCAACTGTCCTTGTATATGTTATTGTACCCTTACGCTGTAGGTCGTGTTCATGCTGTCTGAACTGGCCTTGTATATGTTATTGTACCCTTACGCTGTAGAGCGTGTTCATGTTGTCTGAACTGGCCTTGTATATGTTATTGTACCCTTACGCTGTAGGTCGTGTTCATGCTGTCTGAACTGGCCTTGTATATGTTATTGTACCGTAACGGCTTAGGTCATATTCATGTTGTCTGAATTATATAATATGATAACTGCAAAGACTCACACGAATACAATTTGTATATCTCATACGTAAACTTGCAAACTATGAGGTACAATCGTACTCCGTGTTCTGCATTTCATAAATGCCAAATCTCCTGCCAAATACTGTTTGAAGCATCACTTATAACTACGAGAGGAACAGTGGCCAAGTGGTTAAAGGGTTCGCTCGTCACGCCGAAGATCCAGGTTTGATTCCCCACATGGGTACAATGTGTGGAACCCATTTCTGAAGTCGTGATGTTGCTAAAAGCGGCTTAAAAGTATACACACTCACAAAACTCACTCACTCACTCACTCTAACAGGACATGACAACAAATCCACACTGGCTCCTTACTCCGGACATTTGTTAATCCGACTCTTAACTGCAACATTTTCGGTTGGATTTCACAGTACATCTGTCGACAATCACTGAGTGATTACGTTCTATGGCGCCTTTAGTACCATTCCAGAAATTTCACACCAGGGGATGCTTAGAACCGGCTCATACATTGTACCCATGTGGAGAATCGAACCCGGGTTTTCAGCGGGACGAGCGGACGCGTTAACCACAAGGCTACCTTACACTCCTTCTTCCTATAGGAATTACTTGGAATTGTGAACTCATCACGCAGAGGCCCGGGTGTTATTTATGGGGGCGTCGTGGGCGAACTGTCTAAGGCGCCTGGCTAGTGATCCAGCGAGCTTGAGGTGACGAGATCGAGCCCCCGGATCCGTTGGTAAATGACCAGATGGTGGCCACATGAACACATACAAACACCTAGTTGCGGGTACAGCAACGTGCAGTAAACTTGGGCAAAGGACTGTGACTATGTGTCCCAGTCTACCCAGCTGTGAATGGGTACATCGTAAGGATGGTAAAGCCACACTAACTCGGTGCGCCTAGTGGCTTCAAGAGTTGTATGATCCCCAGGGAGTTGAGACTGATAATACGACGTGCCTTTGAGGATTGATATCCAGTGATCGAGGGAAAAACAAAGCGCCTTTGAGCAGCTGAGCTGGATATCGGCGCTATACACATGTTAGCATTATCATCATCATCATCATCGACGTGGGTACAATGAGTAGAGCCTCTCTGGAGCTTTAGAACCTCTCACTCTCACGTAGTTTACCCTAATCACTGCTGACCAGTGATGTATGCCTTGTGTCAGACAAGCACCTGTGCATTGTAACTCAAGTGCTGACCCGGACGAAAGAAGTTGTCCTCATTAATAATCATCGTTAATGAATGTACTCTCATTTAAAGTAATGTCCAAGTCAAATCAGTTTTTCATTAATTACATGTTTATCTTACCACCCTTTTTGTCATATATGTAACAGTCAATGTGTAAGATCAGACAATTTGTCAATGTCTGAAATTTTCGGTCAATTTGCAAATTACCTGAAAAATTAGTCGATTTAATTTGACAGATTGACTGAAACATGTTTCAATGTGTATTATCGTTATTTGTGTATAAAACTTATCTTTTAGAAAAAAAACCCTAAGATTTATTGACATAGAACATGACAACTGCTAATTTTTTCTTAAATCCCGTCTCAAATCCAGCCAATGGAAATTTGAGGAAGCAGGACTGTTTGTGATTAGTAGACAGGTCTTCCAACAGGATCATATGTATTTGTGAAAGTAAACCTGTACCCAGTGGACCATAAGTGGTTGTCTCATGTTGAGAGTGTCTCGTCTTACATTTGTAGCTTTACAGGAGTAACTAAAGAACACACAACGAAATATAAGGACAATGTAAGTCAGACTGTGTATATTTTAATGCACATGGAACTTCTCAACAACAATAACGTCTATCTGATAAAACATTTCCAATGTATAACAACAGCTAGAAAATGTATAATAGTGAAATGATAATACATCGTGACTGATGAAAGATATAATGACAAACAGCAACATGAACTCCGACATTGTCGTACATCACCAACCTGTGCCCGTGACTCTGAGGCCTTGAGCTTTATCATTATTCAGTGACTTCACGCAGTGTCAGCTGAAATCCAGATTAATGTCGCTTTATCGTACAACACCAGATGACCTCAACGATAAAATAACCGGTGGTTATAAACCAAGAGTCCTAAGAATGAAATCCACGAAGGAACATTGTCGCGTTACCGCATTGGTTAATTTTGACACATTTTGCTTACTTTTGTCAGGGCGACCACGCGACAATGTCTCTTTTAGGCCTCCATACCTAACACCGACGCACTCACAACAAGGCGACCCTATTCTTATAAGATGACCGCTCGGACAACATTTTTACCATATCGACTGTATGGTTAAACTTGTTGAATGCGATGTTGGTATTTTACAAATATTACCTGAAATCTTCACCGTGTGGCTTTATTTCGGCTAAATATTACACCGTGCCTAACATTAACCTTTCAATCTCAATTATCTGAAGGTAATGTGTTTTGTCTTGTTAAACTATTTGCGCTTGGGGCTTTGTAAAGTAAAGCAAGGATTAATACTATTCAGATATACTGAATGATTTTCACTCTGGTTTGTTTATAGCGGATTCTCACCCTATGACTTCACTACAAGCATGACTTCACTACAAGCATGACTTCACTACAAGCATCTAACCTTTTAAAAACATACACCTAGGCCATAATATGAATAAAATTATGCATCCCAATTTTCTCTGCTTTGTAAAACCAACATGTCAAATAATCTAAAATTAAAATGTTTCATATTTAAGACAGCTATTGAAAAAAGCAACAAGGAGTAAGTTGTCTACATTCACGGTAAGACAATGAGTGAGAGCAGTTCTACTCACTCTGATCTGATTGATTGGCATTTTAGAAGTTGGTGAGTAATAAGAAAGTAAGATATTTTTAGGACTACAATTTCTTTATTATATATGATGCGACGTTTCGGTATAGCAAGAGTGCCAACGGTATAAGAATTTATACCGAAACGTCGTATCATATATAATAAGGAGTTGTTATCCATAAAGTATCTTACTGTATCTGTACTCTCTCGCCCAGTTTGGAGCTTCTAAAAGTGTTACCGGCTAAACGTGTTCAGATATCACATCGATAATAACTCAGTCACAATGTATTATTATTAAATTACAATGAAAGATTTAAGTAAACATGAGGTGATTTGAACATGTAACGCACCATCAAAGTATTAAAATCAATAACTCCTGTTATGGAGTGCAATAGCATCTTTGATTGCTTGAATTCTGCTGGGCGTCTTGGGGGCGTCGGAGTTATCGTTACTGTGTTCCTGATGGTACTTGTGATCATGGTTCTTTGAGATGACGTTGGCCAGGAGGTCCACCAGCTTCTTCTGGTCCTGACCGGAAGGTTGAGCCTGCTGCTGGGGATTGCTGGGTGGAGGAGGCTGTTGCTGGAATCCCCCTCCAAGTCCTTGGAGTCCAGGTCCACCAAATCCACCAAGTCCACCTAAGCCTCCACGAGCGGCAAGGAGTGGATTACCTCCTCCAAGACCACCAAATCCTGGCCTTCCGCCAAGTCCTGGGAAGCCGAATTGTCCCAGAGTCACGGCCAGAACCATACCTGCAGGTGGAGACCATGTAACGCTCAGGTGATCGATTATATATATACATTTATTGTATTTTATAACCTCAAATTATCTTAAACGTTTTTGTGATGCTTCAGTTATTTGCCAAAGATGTTTGTGTTACAGGAACAATACAAAACTAATATGGAGGGAAATTTGTAGCCATGTTGAATACAGCAAAGTCCGTTACTACAAGAATCTCCTAGAAAGTTACTGTTTGGAGTGCCTATATAAACTACAGGAAAAAGAATGTATACACCTAAGTTTGACGAGAGGAAGAACTAATATAGAGGTTTGTAGCCATAGGGAATACGGGAATCGTGAAAGTTACTTAAATAGTTCAAGAAAAAGAAAACATAAACCCATGTTTGATGATGTCTACAAATGAAACAAATACTACACGGTTATTCGATGATGATGTTTTGATAAGGGTAACATAGTGTGTTTTGAACCTGAAGTTTGCATAGTTTCAGCGACTTTTTCAGACTTGTGACAATCTTTGTAATTATTAGGCGAAGTCGCGTTTTTACGTGTATACAACGTACCAATGATTTGATAATCTGGACGGATTAACGGATTCAACACTAGCAACTACCAACTGAAACATGTAATCTCCCAAATCACGACTTTCTAAATGAATGAATATAATAAAGATAAAAAAAAATCAATATTTAAAAACTGAAATACTCCTGTAAACTCGGTAATACAAGAAATGTCCCAGCAAATAGATTCAAGTCCATTACCACAGCTGTAGTCATGACAACAACAAGGCAGAAAATGGATAACACAAACCATTGAGTTTAATCGCAATGAAAGAAACTTAATTATTCCAAGGTGTTATCATTAAAAAGGATAAGACAAAAACTTTATGCATGTATCAACGTGAAATATCATCGCATATTTACCAATGACTGCAGCACGGATCACGAACGATAGGTCTGCCATTGCGTTGTATGTCTCAGCAATACATGACACCCAGTCAATGACCTGGGCTTATATACTCTATGAATGTTTTTGTATACAATCTCATAATCAATTCTCATACCTACCACCTCGCCTTCTTCTCAGCAAGAGATGCTATGCTTTAACTGCTGGATAGGCATTTATACAGATTCAGGGCCTGTGAAAGAACTGGTTTTGCCCTCATCATGTGGTTGAGTTTTCCAGCCGCTTGGGTGATAAGGTGTATTGCGTATTAGAGCTCCACCCATGAGCATCTGACTGTTTTAATCCAACCACTGCTGTGAAGACATGTTACTCATTTGGTGTCGTGTAGGCAATAGAACGTAAAGCTGAAGGTAGATAATTTCGAACAGAACGAGAAAAGGTAGTATATAATATTTATTATAAATACACATGGCAATTATGTATTCTAAATATATAGCACTGTGGAAACAAATTATTATTTTGTCTTTGAACTATCCGGCAATTGTACGCGACTGCTTGCTGGTCTCAGGCACCAAAAATGGCTGTGCCGAACAGTGTCCCTTCGCAGTGCCAGGATCTGCTAGTCGAATCCATGCATTATTAAGATTATTTACTCTTGGTCTGTCGTAAATGACAGTGTGGGGAATAAATGTTTTATCGCGGTATGGGGAGTATTCACCAATATCATAATCACCGCATGATCACAGGGAGTATTCATCAATATAGATCATAGGGAGTATTCATCAAAATGGATCACAGGGAGTATTCATCAATGTGGATAACAGGGAGTATTCATCAATATGGATCACAGGGACCAATCATCAATACATATCATATGGAGTATTTATCAATATGGACCACAGGCAGTATTCATCAATATGGATCACAGGGGGTTTATTCATCCATATAGATCACAGGGATAATTCATCAATATGGATCACAGGAAGTATTTATCACTATGGATCACAGGACGTATTAATCACTAAGGATCACAGTGAGTATTCATCAATGTGGATCACAGGGAGTATGCATCAATGTGGATTATATGGAGTATTCATAAATATGAATCCTAGGGAATATTCATTAATATTGATCATAGGGAGCATTCATCAATATGGATCAGAGGCAGTATTCATCAATATGGATCACAGGTATTCATCAATATGGATCACAGAGTATTCATCAATATGGATCACAGGGAGTATTCATCAATATGGATCACAGGGATTATTCATCAGTATGGATCACAGGGAGTATTCATCAATATGGATCACAGGGAGTATTCATCAATATGGAACACAGGAAGCATTCATCAATATAGATCAGAGACAGTATTCATACATATGGATCATAGGGAGTATTCATCAATATGGGTCATAGGGATTATTCATCAATATGGATCACAGGGAGTATTAAAAAAAACATGGATCACAGCACGTATTACTAAGTATGGATCACAGGAAGCATTCATCAAAATGGATCACAGGGAGTATTCATCAATATGGAACACAGGGAGTATTCATCAATATGGATCACAGGAAGTATTCATCAATATGAATCACAGGGATTATTCATCAATATGGATCACAGGAAGTATTCATCAATATGAACCACAGGGAGTATTCATCCATATGGATCACAGGAAGTATTCATCAATATGAATCACAGGGATTATTTATCAATATGGATCACACAAAGTATTCATCAATATGGATCACAGAAAGTATTCATCAACATGGATCACAGGGGGATGAATAGTATTCATCAATATGGATCACAGGGAGTATTCATCAATATGGATCACAGGGAGTATTAATCACTATGGATCACAGTGAGTATTCATCAATGTGGATCACAGAGAGTATGCATCAACGAGGATTATATGGAGTATTCATAAATATGGATCCTAGGGAATATTCATTAATATCGATTATAGGGAGTATTTATAAATATGGATCATAGGGAGTATTCATCAATATAGATCAGAGACAGTATTCATACATATGGATCACAGGGAGTATTCATCAATATGGATCATAGGGACTATTCATCAGTATGGATCACAGGAAGCATTCATCAAAATAGATCACAGGGAGTATTCATCAATATGGAACACAGGGAGTATTCATCACTATGAATCACAGGAAGTATTCATCCATATGGATCAGGAAGTATTCATCAATATGAATCACAGGGATTATTCATCAATATGGATCACAGGAAGTATTCATCAATATGAACCACAGGGAGTATTCATCAATATGGATCACAGGAAGTATTCATCAATATGAATCACAGGGAGTATTTATCAATATGGATCACAGGGAGTATTCATCAATATGGATCACAGGAAGTATTCATCAATATGGATCACAGGGAGTATTCATCAATATGGATCACAGGGAGTATTCATCAATATCACAGGAAGTATTCATCAATATGGATCACAGGGAGTATTCATCAATATGGATCACAGGAGGCAGTATTCATCAATATGATCACAGGGAGTATTCATCAATATGGATCACAGAGAGTATTCATCAACACAGATTATTTATCAATATACAGGAGTATTCATCAATATGGATCATAGGAATATTCATCAATATGGATCACAGGGATTATTTATCAATATGGATCACAGGAGTATTCATCAATATGGATCACAGGAGTATTCATCAATATGGATCACAGGAGTATTCATCAATATGAATCACAGAGAGCATTCATGGATCAACGGGATCATAGGGAGTATTCATCAATATGGATCTATGGATCATCAGGGAGTATTCATCAATATGGATCATAGGGAGTATTCATAATATATGATCATAGGGAGTATTCATCAATATGGATCACAGGGAGTATTCATCAATATGGATCACAGGAGTATTCATCAATATGGATCACAGGGAGTATTCATCAATATGGATCACAGGAAGTATTCATCAATATGGATCACAGGGAGTATTCATCAATATGGATCACAGGAAGTATTCATCAATATGGATCACAGGAAGTATTCATCAATATGGATCACAGGGAGTATTCATCAATATGAATCATGGATCACAGTCAGTATTCATCAATATGGATCACAGGGAGTATTCATCAATATGGATCACAGGAAGTATTCATCAATATGGATCACAGGAGTATTCATCAATATGGATCACAGGGAGTATTCATCAATATGGATCACAGGAGTATTCATCAATATGGATCACAGGAGAATTCATCAATATGGATCACAGGAGAATTCACAGAAAGTATTCATCAATATGGATATGGATCACAGGAGTATTTCATCAATATGGATCACAGGGAGTATTCATCAATGAGGATCATATGGAGTATTCATCAATATGGATCATAGGGAGTATTCATTAATATGATCATAGGAAGTATTCATAAATATGGATCATAGGGGTATTCATCAATATAGATCATAGGAGTATTCATCAATATGGATCAGAGGAGTATTCATAATATATGGATCACAGGAGGTATTCATCAATATGGATCACAGGAAGTATTCATCAATATGGATCACAGGAAGCATTCATCAAAATGGATCACAGGAGTATTCATCAATATGGATCACAGGGAGTATTCATCAATATGGATCAGGGAGTATTCATCAAATATGGATCACAGGAAGTATTCATCAATATGAATCACAGGGAGTATTCATCAATATGGATCACAGGAAGTATTCATCAATATGAATCACAGGGAGTATTTATCAATATGGATCACACAAAGTATTCATCAATATGGATCACAGAAAGTATTCATCAACATGGATCACAGGAGTATTCATCAATATGGATCACAGGGAGAATTCATCTATATGGATCACAGGGAGTATTTATCAATATGGATCACAGTGAGTATTCATCAATGTGGATCACAGGGAGTATGCATCAATGTGGATTATATGGAGTATTCATAAATATGGATCCTAGGGAATATTCATTAATATCGATCATAGGGAGTATTTATAAATATGGATCATAGGGAGTATTCATCAATATAGATCAGAGGCAGTATTCATAAATATGGAT